TACTGTGGTAGGATCAGAGGCTGCATTCAGGCATCTGGCACTCATTGAGGGAATACTTTTAAAAAATAAAATCCTGCCATTTATAGTTTTAAAACAGGAAAAGGAGAAGGGGAAAGAAATATTTGCAGGCAAGGTATGTAACTTTGCACAGTGTTTGTTTGCCACAGCAAGTGTTACTTAAAATATAAAGCATCGAGGATCTTTCTACTTTGTAGACTCCAGAGCAGTGGTTCTCAACCTGTGGGACCCCAGATGTTTTGGTCCTCAACTCCCAGAAATCCTAGCAGCTGGTAAACTGGCTGGGATTTCTGGGAGCTGTAGGACAAAACACCTGGAAATCCACAGATGGGGAACCACTGCTCTAGAGCTCTTTGGGGCGAGTGTACACTTGCCCCACCCCTGGTTTAGAGCAAAGACAAGAAAAAAATACATAATTTTGAAACTTGTATGCTGAATGTAATCTATAGTCTTGATTAGGCTATCTGCTTTTTAGTATTGTTTCTCAGTTGTTCTATCCAAGCAGCAATTTAAAAAAAAAAAGAATTTAAGTGTCTTTATGGGTTGAGATAAACCAAAATATCAACAATTCATCTAATGTGGCTGCTTTTACTTTTTTTCACAGCAAAGCAACAGATGCTATATTTTCTATGTACATTTTACAGAACTGTGCAGAAAATACTGTATTTCACCACATAATAGCCACACTCCTCCCCCCTTTTTTTGGCAATTTTTACATGATGAAGAAATTTCTAGGTACGCCCCTGCCAGCCGAGTGAAACCCTGTAAGTCCAAGGGGGCAAGTGAATAAAGGGCGCGAGTAACACAAAAAGACTAATTCTGACACCCCAAAAATGGGTGTGCAACTATTATGTGGTGGTGACTTTTATGCAAGGAAATGTTTCTTGTTTTGTACCTTGTTTTGTATCTTCAAGTCATTTCTGACTTACAGCAACCTTGAGATGGTATTTTGTCCATAGGGAGTTTGCTATTTTGTTCTTTTGAAATTGAGTGTGTGTGACTTGCCCAAGGATCATCCCTGGCTCAGCAGGGATTCAAACCCTGGTCTCCAGAATCATAGTCTAACACTCAAACTTCGCTACACAATTTCCTATGACAAATGCACCATGATCAAAGAATATGGGAATTGCGTGGATCACTAAAGTGAAAAAATGTTTTAGTTCTGATTTATTACATGTTGCTATTGTGGGGGGAAAGTATAAAGAAATAATGGATGACATCTGTCATATGGTGACATAAGGGAGTTTGTGGAAAGTGACCTCATAGCTCCCAGGGGTTGAGATGGGCTATGACCAGTCGAAAGTCTACAAATTCCCTTTTGCACTACGAGTCACTCAGTGAGCCAAACCATAGTAGAACATTTATTATTTGAGTTTGCTGCTCAGATATAGCTGAGAAACAACATTAAAAAGGCTTCATTACATATAGTGGTATCCTTTATTTGGTATAGTGTTTCTAGTGAAAACTTTTTACTATAATGCCTCACTACTGAAAAATACAAACAACCACCTGCTAAGTCTCATATGAACTATCAACTTGGGCTAAAGCAGTGGTTCCCAATCTTTTTTTGACCAGGAACCACTTGACCAGGGACCACTCTCCAATATTAGTACCAAAACAGTTTTGAATCAGTTTTTGGTCAACTTTAGATTTGATTTGGTAATTTGGAGTGCTGATTCAGAAAACTGCATTGGATAGGCCACATCAGCTCTAATTTCTGATACAGAACATATGCCATCCAATAGTCGCCATCAGTTTACCCACAGAAAACCATATTTAATAAGTCTTGGTACTATAAGAGGGTTTTGCGAGACCAGTCGCTCTCGTTGCAACAGTATAGTAATGGTGAGGTAATTGACCATATTTTAGTTCTTGTGGACCACAGGTTGAGAACCACTGGGCGAGAGTGATACATTGGGGGGGGGGGGTGTGTGCAATTAATGAAATGCACAACTTCAGAGCAAACACCTGTTTTTTCTTCCTTCCACAGCCTTCAGTTTGATCCAGCACCTCGCCGTGGAGAGCCTCATGTTACTCGGCGCACCCCAGACTACTTCCTATAAAATTCTCCTCCTTGGTTTGGCCTTGAGCAGTAGTAGTACACCTGGCATTTTTTTGAAAAGCAACAATGTATGTGATGAGTTGAGGTCTGTCTCAGCAAAGCCTCTTCATGGACCAAACTGTGCCATAATGAGGATGCGCAGCTTTGAGCACAACTTAAGACTGACTTCAATACACTAATCAATCCTGTATCAGCCAGTCCAACAGCCAGTTTGCCTGCTCTTTAACTGTAGTAATCGTTTTCTTCTGGACTATTCAGAGAGGAAAGGTAACTAACCCATGTCCCTTTCATGCTTACTTGTACATTTTAGTTGTAGTGTTTAACCGGCATGTTACCAACGTTTTGAAGTTTAAGAAAAATGCACAAACTAACTTCCCTCTTAACCCTATTGCCCTCTATTTTATGGACATTAAGTAACTTAACTGGAGAGAGAAAATCCTCTTGGGAGTATGTTGTCATAAGCTTTCCCTCCATTTAACTAGATTACTGTTCTGTGTTGATCCTTTTTTCTGTATATTTGTCATGAAAGTGCTTGCATCTTATTTGATGTAATTGAACAAATAAACTTGCAGATCATTATTCCAAACAGACGGATATTCTCAGTTGACATAGCTTGTCTCTCAAACTCATTTCAGGAGATGTTACAATACTCGCTCAGTTTGTTTGTATTGATTGAAGTAAACACCTTGGATATAAACACTTAGCAAGAGATTTGAATTCATTTAGTTTTATAGAAAGGTAGGAGATTGTGGGTTTTTTTCCTCTAGTAAAAAAGCACCTGCAAATCTTTTTTAAAGCCGCTGGCCCCTTCCTAATGCAGAAAACATCACATTTTTCAAAAAATATATATTGTATGTCTTCCCCTCTTTCCACATTTGCAATTCTAGGAACACATTAAACTGATAGCATGGCTAAAGGAGAACTAATTTCACATACTGCAATCCTAGTTCTCAAATTCAGCTTCCTGCAACAAAAAAGCCTATTTCTTGCCATTTTAGTTGCAAACATATGCATGTTGGTAAGGTTTGTCGAAATCTAAAATGAGACTAACAACTGCATAAGATTAAGGAGGTAGTGTGGCATTGCTCTGTAGTGAGCATCATACTTCATTTTGATGACAGTAGAATGATGTTGAAGATCTGTATATGTTTTCCCACTGTTTACACATGCATTACATCACAGCTATTTTTTTTCACTTTCCTCCACTGCTTTGATTAATGCAAAGGATACTGAGGACAGTCAAATTAATAATCTGTAAGATGATCTGGGAGCCTTTGTGGCTGAAGAATATAGTATAAATACTTTAAACCACATGTGTCAAACTTAAGGCCTGTGGACTGAACCCAGCCCTCCATGTCATTTTATGTGGACCTCCAGATGTTGGATTACAACTCCTGTATTCCTCCTCATTAGAAATCAGGACTAGAGCTGATGTGAGTTGCAATACAGTAACAGCCAGAAGGCTGCCGTTTTGTCCTATTTAGTCAAGATAGTGGGAATTGAATTGAGAAACAAGGCTGGTGAATATGTCTGACTTAAATATCTCTTTAACCTTTCCCCAACCTCAGAGCAACAAGTGCTTTTGGATCACAATTCCCATTATCCCCAGTCTTCATGGCAGACGATCATAAGTGATAGGTGTAACAGCAAATGTTTTGGGGTTCTATGTGTAGCAACAAAACAATCCCCATCTATAGCGGAAGCACTCCCCCTCTGGTTAAGGAGCAAACAAAGTTGACAAGTTTATACAATAATATTTACATATGTGTAGCAGAAGATCTTGTCTCTTCTCCAGCCCTTCTTCCTGATACTCTCAGTAAGTTCATACCTTCTTCTTGTCTCTCTGGTTTTCTTCACCAATCCTTCAGTCTCTTTGCAGCTTCATCTCCAACAGCACACAGCAAGCAACTCTATTCTCTCATCACCATGGAAGTTTGTGCTTCTCTAGTATACTTACAGTTTCTCCACCCTGGCTATAGATTACTCAGTGTTTCTCAAATAATACGCTGTGTGAAATAATATGCTGTGTCTACTTCAACCAGAGAAGTCAGCCATAGCAGAGCACCTGATGAACCAACCTGGACACAGCATATTATTTGAGAATGAGAACACAGAAATTCTGGACCACTCTAACAACCACCATGACAGACCACATAGAGAAGCCATTGAAAGCCACAAGCATGTGGACATTTTCATCAGAAAGGAGAAAACCATGAAAATGAACAAAATCTGGCTACCGATATTAAATATTTTTACCATTATTAAAAACTCTATAATCAAAACAGTAAAAAAGAACAACACTCAAAAACAGGGGAATTCCAGATAAGAAACAATCAGGGCCAGATAATCACCTCCCAACAAAGGATTCCCCCAGGCAATAAGCAGCCAGACTGTGAAGCTGCAAGGCCATTAAATGCTAAGGTTGCCAATTGCAACATTCACACCTCCCTCAAACAGACAAGAGTTCTTTCTCCCACCATGAACATTTCACAGATATAGAAACCCCACTTGCCAAGTTTCCAATAGACCTCATAACCTCTGAGAATGCCTGCCACAGATTCAGGTGAAATGTCAGAAGAGAATGCTTTTGGAACATGGCCGTACTCACAGCCACTGAGCTGCTCTTTCTTTGTCAGCAGATTAAGTGTATCTGGAATAGAGTCAGTACAGCCCCACTTTACGTAAAAGGTGATGTGCAGAAAGAAAAGGTTATCTCTAATGCAACATCAAAGTGCACATCCTGCTAAAGCCCAAGATTACACAGGAACATCAGCAAAACAATAATAACTGACACACAGGCTTCTGCCTCTGCCCTCCACCCAAACTCGTTTCCATATTTGACTCAAGACAGTTGCTAAACAAACCCCTTATCTAGAAACACACCTTGTTCCAAAAGAAAAAGACCAAATAACCCCTCTCATTATTTTAAAACATTTTATTTTATCCAAGTAGGTAGACCACACATCAATTTCCTGGTTCCTGTCTGGGAGAAGATTTTCATCCCATTTCAGCTGCAGTAAAAAATAAAGTGGGGTTGGGGGGTGAGGGGAAGTGATGTGCTCAAAGAAGAAAATACAATTCTGTAAAGATTAAGTCTTTGGTGCAGAAAATACTTCTGTAAGCTTCAGTCGTGTTCAAGCTTTTTAACGCAGTGTGACCAGCTCTTCTGAAGAGGTTGGGTGAATGGCCACAGTTCGATCGAAGTCTGCCTTTGTTGCTCCCATTTTGACAGCCACCGCAAAACCCTGGAGCATTTCATCACATCCCAAGCCTTGCATGTGAAGTCCAACAACCTTAAAATACAAAACCATGCTCATATTTAACACAGAACCCATCGCTTTGGCTTTCTAAGGCAAAAGAGCTACAAATACATACCTATAGTCTAGACAAGAGGCTACTGTCTGGATACAATATGGAGGAGGAGGGGAAATGGTATTCAAGAATCAAATGGGTCCAGCAAGATTGTGTTTTATTATCCGCTCACTATAATTTACTAGCAGAACATATATGGAAAGACTAGATGTGGAGGAAGGAATAGCCAAAATTCACAATATTCAAATGATATTGTATCAGTAGTTGAAAATAGCACAGCCGTGCTTGAGGAAAATAAAGGAAGAAACTGAAAAAGTAATACTATTATTCAACACAAACTAGTGACCACACATTATTTCCACAGTCTTAATGTGAAGACATCAAAGATTTTCGAAACTTTAGGTTAATTATCAACAGAGGCGGCCCTAGGTAATTTTCAACGGTAAGCAAACAGTATTTTGCCCCCCCCCCCCAAACCAATCATTGATATATATTTTCTGTTCGTCGTGGGAGTTCTGTGTGCCATATTTGGTTCAATTCCATCATTGGTGGAGTTCAGAATGCTCTTTGATTGTAGGTGAACTATACATCCCAGTAACTACACTTGCCGCACTTGCTCCCTTGCCTGGCCCGCTTTGGGTCCGGAGGCATGCCTGAAGACCCCGGCGTGTGCACCAAAAGTCACCTCTTCTCCTGACTTTCTCCTCAGCCATTGGGACCAAGAGAGAGAGAGAGAGGTGGAGATGCCCACCTTTCCTGAAGGTAGGCGCAAAAACAAAGGAGGGAGCGGAGGTGGGAGATACCTCCAGCTGGAGGGTCTCTCTCTCTCTCTCTCTCTTGGTCCCAATGGCTGAAGAGAAAGTCAGGAGAAGCGGCGACTTTTGGTGTGCACACTTCAGACACGCCTCTGGACCCGAAGCGGGTCAGGCGCAGCGGCTCCGTCCCTTGGGGAGAGGAGGCGGGTGGAGCCGGTCATGGGAGCCGGACATGGGGAAGGGATCGAACACAGAGAACGATTGAGCGCTGGCTCTGCTCGCGCACCCGGTGGCCGGGTGGACCCGGAACGAGAGGGGTTAGACGAGGCTCAAGGGTCCAGCCCCTTTGGGAAGAGGATCACCTGGCAGCGAGGAAAGAAAGCCGAGGACTGCTAGGGCTGTTGTGAGCTGAGGGGGCACTCCCCAAGTGGCAGTCAAGGGGCATTTACAGAGGCACCTCTGCGCCCATGGCAAAAAAAAGTGTTCTGCGACCGCTTACTTCGCGTAATGGACGAGCTGCCCCTGATTATCAATCAAAATGCAGTCAAGGAAGCAAAATGCTAGGACTTGTAAGGACTACTGAAGAACTAGACCAGACATTGAGGAAACAGATTGAAAAAACTTGTCTTAAATGTGCTGGGGGAGAGTTTTGTGGAAACCATGGACTGTCAACATAACAATAATTGGTCCTAGAGCAATTCAAGTTTGAATTTTCCCTACAAGTCAAAATGACCAAACTACTATATATATTTGAGTATAAGCAGAGTTTTTCAGCTCTTTTTTTAGACTGAAAAGGCCCCCCTCAGCTTATACTTGAGTCAAGGTTATTTCTTATTTTACTACTACTACTACTACATTTATTGCTTTACTCTATTGTTATTATTGTTGTTGTTGTTCATTCGTTCAGTCGTCTCCGACTCTTTGTGACCTCATGGACCAGCCCACGCCAGAGCTCCCTGTCGGCCGTTACCACCCCCAGCTCCCTCAAGGTCAGTCCAGTCACTTCAAGGATGCCATCCATCCATCTTGCCCTTGGTCGGCCCCTCTTCCTTTTGCCTTCCACTTTCCCCAGCATAATTGTCTTCTCTATTGTTATTATTGTTATTATTATTGTTGTTATTGTTATTGTCTTCTCTATTGTTATTATTACATTTATTATTTTACTATATTATTGCTATTATTGCATTTATTATTTTACTCTATTACTGTTATTGCATTTATTATTTTACTCTATTACTGTTATTACATTTATTATTTTACTATTATTATTATTATTATTATTATTATTATTATTACAGCTATTAATTTACTATTATTATTGGAAGGATACGTAAGCACATTTACATTGAACAAAGTTAGAATAATGGTTTAATCCAAATTGGACAGTCTTATCTTAAATTACAGTTTTATGTAAATAATCAAAAACATTTAAGATTGCCAGAGATACAGCCTCAATTAATATAATTTTATTGTTATCTATTTTTATTTTGAAATTTGCCAGTACCTGCTGCATTTCCCACTCTCGGCTTATACTCAAGTCAATACATTTTCCCATTTTTTGTGGCAAAATTAGGTGCCTCAGCTTATATTCGGGTCAGCTTATACTCGATTATATATGGGTAAGTTATTGCATCATGAAATATGACTTCTTAAAAGTTTACAATGCTTCATAAAAGGGATGCAGCAGGAAAAGAAGACCATATTTCAATACAGGAAGCCACAGCCCTGAGTTTACACGACTGAACAGGATTGTTGATGACGGGTGTCTTTAAGGTCTCTCATTCATAGGGTTACTGTTAAGTCAAAGCTTACACATTCTTCCTTTGCTTACCTTCTCTTCCTTGTTGGCACAGACGAGTTTCATTACACATTTTGATTTTCTTTTAGTTACAGCATGATACATTGGAATAAAGTTTGTTGTATAGGTTTTGACATTCTTTTCCCCATATGCAGCAATGGCTTCCCCTGGAAACAACACAGAAAGTGTTTGATTACTGAAAGAATCACCATAGTGTTTTCTGCTTCAACAGCAAGAACTGCCTCCTTTTGCAGGCTGTTTTAACCTAGAGCTGTAGGACTGAATACCAAGTATCTTTGCTTAGTCCAGGGGTAGTCTGCACAATGAATCAAAACTACTAAGCAAAAGCCAGCGTTCTACAGAGCCTTGACTCCAGCATTTATAATTCAGTTCAAACCATCTAAAACATGGAATACTAAACACTATGCCACTTCATTCATATGGATGGCTGTTAGATTTTATTTTTTTTTGATAACGTTTAAATTTATGATATAATAAAAACCAGAATGTTTCCTATACTGATGCTCAGGAATTTCCTCTTCTGTGCTGAAGGAATGCATTTAAGAAAGAGCGCATGCAATCATAGCCTGTCAAGTTTTTTAGCCCTTGTTTTGGGCTGAAAAGGCCCCCCTCAGCTTATATTCAAGTCAAAGTTATTTATTATTTTACTCTATTATTATTATTATTACATTTATTATTTTACACTTATTATTAATAATTTTACTCTTATTATTATTACATTTATTATTTTACTCTATTATTACTGGAATGATACGTAAGCACATTTACATTGAAGGTTAGAATAATAATTTAATCCGAGTTGGACAGTTTTACCTTAAATTACAGTTTTATGTAAATATTCAAAAACATCTAACCTACTGATATCTCAATTAATGTAATTTTATTGGTATCTATTTTATATTCAAATTTTTCAGTAGCTGCTGCACCCTCGGCTTATACTTGAGTCAATACGTTTTCCCAGTTTTTTGTGGTAAAATTAGGTGCCTCAGCTTATATTCAAGTCGGTTTATACTGGAGTATACATTAACAAGAATGCCCAGGCCTGAATTGTAGTATTACTATTTTTATAGCAAGATTGTCAGGGATACAGCTATAACATCCCTGTCAGATTTCTGCCCAGACTACTTACATATGCAAAAATGTATGCGCTTAATATAGAGATTCCACCAGCAGTATGTCGTTGCCAAGCCATTCTAGAACATTTTCTCTTTTTGTATTAGGAAAACTATTTAAAACTTCAAAAAACTGCAAAATTATTCATTACTTTTACGAATACAATGTGCCAATCAACTCCTCCTTTCCCATCACCCAAGTATTATTTAGTGGACCACTGTCCATCACTGTGGGTATAGTTCAGTGGTTCTCAACCTGTGGGTCCTCTGATGTTTTGGCCTTCAACTCCCATAAATCCAAACATCTGGTAAACTGGTTGGATTTTTGGGAGTTGTAGGCCAAAACACCTGGGGACCCACAGATTGAGAACCACTGATGTAGTTGGTCTTATACACTGCTTCTTAAATGGCAAAGTCTTGATCTCAGATAAGATCTTCTTAGCTCAATGTTGTGGTGTAAAAAATGTAAAAAACATTTACAAAGGTTTTTGAATGCCACCTAGATGTGTACACAAATCTGTTAGCAAGAATGTACAGTGTTAATAGTGGACTCTGCAGAAAATGCTTCAGCTGTACTTCAGAAAAAGGAAAATCAGCCTGTTTGGCAAGCCTTGCAAGGATCAGGAAATGCTTGATTTTTATACAATGGAGTCTCACTTATCCAACATAAATGGATCGGCAGAACGTTGGATAAGTGAAAATGTTGGAGAATAAGGAGGGATTAAGGAAAAGCCTATTAAATGTCAAATTACGTCATGATTTTACAAGTTAAGCACCAAACATGTTTTACAACAAATCAACAGAAAAAGCAGTTCAATACACGGTAACGTTATATAGTAAGTACTGTATTTGTGAATTTAGCACCAAAACATTGCAATGTATTGAAACAGCTGTGGATCCAGGCGGGAGGCAGACTGCGTTGGATAATACAGAAAGTTGGATGAGCAAAGGTTGGATAAGAGAGACTCTACTGTACCTGTTTTATATACCTGGAGTTGTATAAATATTTCTCAGATGGAAAGGGGTCACAAAAATACCTCAAAAAGGGGTTGCAAGTGGAAAAGATTTAAGAAGCTCTGGTCTAGAATATATCTATTGGAGAAGGAATCTGGATGCTGTGGCCTTCCAGATGAAGCTGAACTGCAACTCATATCATCCTTGATCACTGGCTGTGCCAGCTGTGACTGATGGGAGACTAGAACTTTCTAAAGGGCCACATGTTCCCCTTCTGTCCCAGAACAATGTATAAAAGGCAACCCTCATATCACAGATACTAAGACTTGTTTGGTTTTCTTACAACAGGGGTTATATTTTGTTCACTGAACTTTATGAGCAAAGAGATGACACCCAAAAGCCCACCTTCTGTTAGTCCAACTGTTCCAATAGGTGGGTGACTGAAGACCACAGTAGGAATGTTCGTGTAGTCGAGTTTGGAGTCTTCTTTACCTTCAAATAGCCTATGCGCCAGCTTCCTTCCTGCTGCTATCGCAACTGTAAGAATGATATCTTGGCATATTACTGAATAAAACATACATGGACACTCACATGCTAACAATTCATTGAGAAGGGCTAGAATATAGGAGTACGGTGTTCCCTCGCTACTTCGTGGTTCACTTTTAGCAGACTCACTGTTTCATGGGTTTTTGAAAATATTAATTACAAATATTAAATATTTATGTCCAGTGGAGGCCAGGGACCCCGGAAGTGCAGCGGCCTGAGGCACGGTAGGGAAGGCCTGCCTCCCTGGTGGGAAAGGAAGCACAGGTAAGAAAATAATATATAAAATAATATATAAATATTAAAATTAATATGGTGTCCTGGAATTAGACCTCCACAATAAGTGATGGAACATTGTACTGTACCACTGGATTAACAAAGCAGGGATGGGAATTGGCAGACTTCCCAGTGTTCTTGCACTGCAATTCCCAGCATCTCTTACCACTAGCTAAATGGACAGTCGTGCTGGGAATTGCAGTTCAGCAGCATGTGAAAGAGGACAAGACTGCCATCCTTGCACGTAAAAGAAGTAGTAAACTATTGACGAATACATCAATGATAATCGTATTACAACTGCTGCACATGGGAGAGCTCTGTGTCTGGAAACACTGTCCCTACCACTGAAATTGGGAAGACCGACTTGCGCAAAACAATGTAGAATGCTCTAGATCAGGTCTACACAACCTGCGGTCCTCCAGCTGTTTTGGCCACCAACCCTGAGAATTCCTGGCCACTGGACAAACTGACTAGGGCTTCTGGGAGTTAGAGTCCAAAACAGCTGGAGGGCCCCAGCTTGTGCAGGCCTGCTCTAGGCGGAGGATTTCAGTATTATACACCAAGCCTTCAATGTATTATTTAAACCTTTTGCATAGTGGGAAAATCGCAAGAGGAATCTAGTAGAACTGGAGCAGTGTAACAAAAGACATCAAGGGAACTAGCAAAGCAACTGGACTGAAAGGATCAAATTCCTCCCCAGAGTATGTAAGAGCTCTTTCCATAGGAATCACGCAGATGTCTCTGGAAAGGACAACAGCAACACACTTCTGTGCTGTTGTTTCCCAGCAATCTGAACTTGAGAACATGCTGTGATTGCTCAACATAATAGTCTATATCCATGACAAGCAGCCCATCTTGTAACAAATTGGATATTGTGTATAACGCTGCTACTTTTTGTTCAGAACCCCCCACCAAATGAGTTTCATTAGATTGCGGTAGTATAAAGGTAAAGGTTTCCCCTTGGCATTAAGTCTAGTCGTTTCCGACTCTGGGGGATGGTGGCAATATACATTTAGCATTATTCTTGGGGAAAATACTACTTTTTCTCCACTTTCTCTAGGCCATATCTGATTTTTTACAAATTTCTATCATATCCTCCCCAACCCCCATTGTTTACTTGCCTTCAGAAGTTGCAAACATATCTTTGTCCATGCTGGGAAGTTGTTTCATCCTATCTTACTGGCCAAAGTATTTCACATGATCATGCTACAAATTTTTATATATGCACCAAGATGCTGAGAGGAACCAGTGGAGTGGAGTGGTTTGCACATTGGACTACAATTACAGTAATGGGTTCAAATCCTTGACGCATCATGAAACTCACTGGTGACGTGGTGGCACAATGGGTTAAACCCTTGTGCTGCTGAACTGCTGACCTGAAGGTTGGCAGTTTGAATCCATAGAACAGGGTGAGCTCGCGCTGTTAGCCCTAGCTCCTGCCAACCTAGTATTCGAAAACATGCAAATGTGAGATCAAAATGTACCACTTCAGTGGGAAAAGGCAAAAAGATGCTCCAGGCAGTAGGTGTCTATGGACAGTGCAGGCTCCTGGGCTTGGAAATGGAGAAGAGCATCTCTCCCACAGCCAGAGATGAGCACTGCCTCCAGAGCCGGAAATTAAAGAAGAAGACTTTGCCTTTGCCTGCGCATTTGTGTCTCATTGTATTTCATTGTAACAAGGCACTGAATGTTTGCCTGTATCTGTGTCTGTTCATATATGATGTAATCTGCTCTGAGTCCCCTCAGGGAGAAGGGCAGAATATAAAGTGTTGTTGTTGGTTGACTTTGAGTAAGCCACATTCTCGCAGCCACAGAAGACGTCAATGGCAAAGCTCTTCTGAAGAAATCTTGCCAAGAAAACCCTGTGATATGGTTGTTTTAGTGTGGAACCAACCCAGAGGCACACAAAAACAAGCCAAGATACTGACAAGTTTTATTTTAAATCCCGTTCTTAACTTTCCTTCATATGAAATTAAGCCATTACAAACTATGTTAAAATGCATACTGAGTTGTTCATCATGATGCCCAAAATCTCTTTCCTGGTTAGTTCAGATCCCATCAGTGTATGTGTGAAACTAATGTAAAGTAAGGTTCCACAGAGTCATTTTTTGTTACTTGCACGAAATCATACCTTGACAAATTAACTTACTCTGGGAATGTATCTCTGAAACACTGAGATTACACCAAATTGTGAGCTTGTGTCACTTTGCTTTTTGTTTGTTCTTACTGCCTGCTTTTAACATAACCTTGGAGGTGTCTACTGACAACGCCTGCTCTTCGGCTTAGAAATGGAGATGAGCACTACCCCCCAGAGTCGGACACAACTAGACTTAAAGTCAAGGGAAACCTTTACCTTTATGGTCGTAAAGCTAACTTTGAAAACACTGAGAACTGGGAAGCCTAACTGGAGGTCAGCTGTGACCAGCAGTGCTGTGGAATTCAAAGAGGCACAAATGGAGGGCAAAAAGGAGAAACGTGCCAAGAGGAAGGCACATCAAGCCAACCCTGACTGGGACTGCCTTCCACCTGGAAACTGGAAGAACATGCAGATCAATAATAGGGCTCCATAGTCACCTACATATCTACTGCCAAGACACTACACTTGGAAGGCCATCATACTCGGACAATGAGGAATTGCTTCTCCCATTGTTCTGTATCTCTGGTGAAAACACACAGCTTCCCACCCATTATATAAACATTTTAAAAATACCATTACCTGGTGTTAGAAGTGCTTTCCCACATACATCTCCAAGAGCATAGATCCCCTTTCTGTTGGTATTTTGGAACTCATCAACAAGAATGTGACCAACTTTGTCCAGCTTAATATCCTGAGGAATATTGGGAGGTGAAAGTCAAAGCTGGCTTCCAGGAAAAGTATAAATAAAATAAATAGCACTACTCAATTTTGGATATATGGTCTTGTAACTTTTCAGGGGGAAAATGTGTGAATGATAGTAATAATAATAATAATAATAATAATAATAATAATAATAATAATAATAATAATAATACATGCCTCTCCCTGCAGTTTGAGGTGAAGTACAACATCATTAAAACAGGAGATAAAACACATACAACAAGATACAGAGTTCAAATATAAGTTAACACCCACTCACAAAATGCAGATTAAAACTCACAATTTAAAACTGACTCAGAGGTAAAACAGATTTCTTTTTGCCACGTAACCTGAATGAATAATGTGTACAGGACATAAAGGAATGGATTTATTTCAAACGGTTTCCAGGCAGTCATTTGCATACCTTTCATCAAGAGATTTACGGAATATTTTTTCATAATCCCAGAAATATTACTTTTCGTGTATTCTACATGTCAAATATTTTACCAAAAATGTATATCAAAATATCACAGTGGAGAAGAGACCTTAAGAGCTATTCACCTTTGTTTATTTATTGTGTCAGAAGCGAAACAAGGGTACAGTTGTAATGTATTTAAAATCACAAAGTTAAAAAAACTTGGCAATATCTATATCTATATCTATATCTATATCTATATCTATATATATAATAAAGAAGAGTGTTTGTATCGGACAGAGGAATTGTGGAGGGCGGTGTATGTGGCAGCGTTCTGATTGGCTGCCGCTGTGGTGCTATTTGCATATGGTCTCTGATTGGCCAGCTTCAATAGGAGCCCCTGGTGGAGAAAAGAGTTCATGGCAGAAACGGGGCATGAGAAGGAAATTTGCATATGGTCTCTGATTGGCCAGCCTCAAATCCAACATTCCGAGATGACAAAGAGAGGAAAGGAAAGGCCGGGGGCTGGGTCAGAACACTCCCAATACAGACCGAAATAGGCACACAGAGCCCCCATAACCTACTCGACATCCTACTGCAGTTTGGAGGAGTATGAACCATGGATGATGGGACTTGCAGTACCACCACTCACATTCTGAGACCGCTGTTAACCTTATCCAATGACTGATCAGGACCAAACTTCGCACAGAGACCTCTCATGACCCACTTTACGTCCTGGTGTGGTTTGGCCGGGGATGGACCGTGGATTATGGGACTTGCAGTACCATTGCTTAATTCTTCAGACCACTGCAACCCTCATCCAATTACCGATAAAGACCAAACTTGGCACACTGAGTCCCCATGACCCACTCTACATCCTGGTGCACTTTTGAGGAGGACAGACCATGGATGATGGGACTTGAAGTACCTCCACTCTCTTCCCAAGACGGCTGCAACCCTCATCTAATGTCTGATCAAGATCAAACTTGGCACACAGAGCCCCCATGACCCACTCTGCATCCTGCTGCAGTTTGAAGGAGGATCGACTTTGGATGATGGGACTTGCAGTACCATCACTCACATTCTGAGACCGCTGTTAAACTCATCCAATGTCTGATCAGGACCAAACTTGCCACATAGACCTCTCATGACCCACTTTACCTCCCGGTGTGTGTTTGGCTGGGGATAGACCATGGATTATGAGACTTGCAGTACTTTTGCGCAATTCCTGAGACCACTGCAACGCTCATCCAATTACCGATAAAGACCAAACTTGGCACACTGAGTCTCCATGACGCACTCTACATCCAGGTGCAGTTTGAAGGAGGATGCACCATGGACGATGGGACTTGCAATACCTGCACTCCCTTCCTAAGACCATTACAACTGCCAACAATGATGGATCAGGAACACAATTTACACAGAGACCCAGCATGACCTGGTGCGGTTTGGAAGAATTTGACAATGGATGATGGGACTTGCAGTCACTTCACTCACTTCCTGAGACGACTGAGACCCTCGCCAATGACTAATCAAGACTAAACTTGGCACATGGAGCTCCAATGACCCACTCTACATCCTGGTGCAGTTTGGAGGAGGACAGACCATGGATGATGGGACTTCAAGTACCTCCACTCCCTTCCAAAGATTGCTGCAACCCTCTTCTAATGACCAATCAAGACCAAACTTGGCACACAGAGCCCCCATGATCCACTCTACATCCTGCTGCAGTTTGAAAGAGGATGGACTTTGGATGATGGGACTTGCAGTACCTTCACTCACTTACTGACACCACTGCCACCCTCATCTAATGACTGATAAAGACCAAACTTGGCACACAGAGCCCCCATGACCCACTCTATATCCTGCTGCTGTTTGTAGGAGGATGGGCCATGGATGATGGGACTTCAAGTACCTTCACTCACTTCCTGAAAATAATGCAGCCGTTATCCAAAGACCAATAAAGACCAAACTTGGCATACAGAACCGCCATTACCCACTTTCTCTAATAACCCGGGCAACGCCGGGTCCCCAAGCTAGTATATAATAAAGAAGAGTGTTTGTATCGGACGGAGGGAGGGCGGTGTATGTGGCAGCGTTCTGATTGGCTGCCGCTGTGGTGCTATTTGCATATGGTCTCTGATTGGGCAGCTTCAATAGGAGCCCCTGGTGGAGAAGAGGGTTCATGGCAGAAACGGGGCATGACAGAAGGAAATTTGCATATGGTCTCTGATTGGCCAGCCTCAAATCCAACATTCCGAGATGAGAAAGAGAGGAAAGGAAAGGCCGGGGCCTGGGTCAGAACACTCCCAATACAGATCGAAATAGGCACACAGAGCCCCCATCACCCACTCTACATCCTACTGCAGTTTGGAGGACTATGAACCATGGATGATGGGACTTGCAGTACCACCACTCACATTCTGAGACCGCTCTCAACCTTATCCAATGACTGATCAGGACCAAACTTCGCACAGAGACCTCTCATGACCCACTTTACGTCCTGGTGTGGTTTGGCCGGGGATGGACCGTGGATTATGGGACTTGCAATACCATTGCTCATTCTTCAGACCACTGCAACCCTCATCCAATTACCAAAAAATACCAAACTTGGCACACTGAGTCTCCATGACGCACTCTACATCCAGGTGCAGTTTGAAGGAGGATGCACCATGGACGATGGGACTTGCAATACCTGCACTCCCTTCCTAAGACCATTATAACTGCCAACAATGATGGATCAGGACCACAATTTACACAGAGAGTCCGCATAACTCACTCTACATCCTGGTGCGGTTTGGAAGAATTTGACAATGGATGATGGGACTTGCAGTCACTTCACTCACTTCCTGAGACCACTGAGACCTCGCCAATGACTCATCAAGACTAAACTTGGCACATGGAGCTTCAATGACCCACTCTACATCCTGGAGCAGTTTGGAGGACGACAGACCATGGATGATGGGACTTCAAGTACCTCCACTACCCAAGACTGCTGCAAAACTCATCTAATGACCAATCAAGACCAAAGTTGGCACACAGAGCCCCCATGACCCACTCTACATCCTGCTGCAGTTTTGGAGAAGGGTGGACCATGGATGATGGAACTTCCAATACCTTCACTCACATTCTGAGACTTCTGCAAACCTCATCCAATAACGGATCAAGACCAAACTTGGCACATAGACCTCTCATGACCCACTTTACGACCTGGTGTTGTTTGGAAAAATTTGGAGATGGATGATGGGACTTGCAGTACCTTTGCTCACTTCCTGAGACCACGGAGACCCTCGCCAATGACTAATCAAGACTAAACTTGCCACATGGAGCTCCAATGACCCACTCTACATCCTGCTGCAGTTTGGAGGAGGACAGACCATGGATGATGGGACTTCAAGTACCTCCACTCCCTTCCAAAGATTGCTGCAACCCTCTTCTAATGACCAATCAAGACCACACTTGGCACACAGAGCCCCCATGATCCACTCTACATCCTGCTGCAGTTTGAAAGGGGATGTACTTTGGATGATGGGACTTGCAGTACCTTCACTCACTTACTGACACCACTGCCACCCTCATCTAATGACTGATAAAGACCAAACTTGGCACACAGAGCCCCCATGACCCACTCTATATCCTGCTGCTGTTTGTAGGAGGATGGCCCATGGATGATGGGACTTCAAGTACCTTCACTCACTTCCTGAAAATAATGCTGCCATTATCCAAAGACCAATAAAGACCAAACTTGGCATACAGAACCGCCATTACCCACTTTCTCTAATAACCCGGGCAACGCCGGGTCCCCAAGCTAGTATATAATAAAGAAGAGTGTTTGTATCGGACAGAGGAAGGGCGGTGTATGTGGCAGCGTTCTGATTGGCTGCCGCTGTGGTGCTATTTGCATATCGTCTCTGATTGGGCAGCTTCAATAGGAGCCCCTGGTGGAGAAGAGGGTTCATGGCAGAAACGGGGCATGACAGAAGGAAATTTGCATATGGTCTCTGATTGGCCAGCCTCAAATCCAACATTCCGAGATGACAAAGAGAGGAAAGGAAAGGCCGGGGGCTGGTCAGAACACTCCCAATACAGACCGAAATAGGCACACAGAGCCCCCATCACCCACTCTACATCCTACTGCAGTTTGGAGGAGTATGAACCATGGATGATGGGACTTGCAGTACCACCACTCACATTCTGAGACCGCTGTTAACCTTATCCAATGACTGATCAGGACCAAACTTCGCACAGAGACCTCTCATGACCCACTTTACGTCCTGGTGTGGGTTGGCCGGGGATGGACCGTGGATTATGGGACTTGCAGTACCATTGCTCATTCTTCAGACCACTGCAACCCTCATCCAATTACCAATAAATACCAAACTTGGCACACTGAGTCTCCATGACGCACTCTACATCCAGGTGCAGTTTGAAGGAGGATGCACCATGGACGATGGGACTTGCAATACCAGCACTCCCTTCCTAAGACCATTACAACTGCCAACGATGATGGATCAGGACCACAATTTACACAGAGACCCAGCATGACCCACTCTACATCCTGGTGTGGTTTGGAAGAATTTAACAATGGATGATGGGACTTGCAGTCACTTCACTCACTTCCTGAGACCGGCGACCCTCGCCAATGACTGATCAAGACTAAACTTGGCACATGGAGCTTCAATGACCCACTCTACATCCTGGAGCAGTTTGGAGGACGACAGACCATGGATGATGGGACTTCAAGTACCTCCACTACCCAAGACTGCTGCAAAACTCATCTAATGACCAATCAAGACCAAAGTTGGCACACAGAGCCCCCATGACCCACTCTACATCCTGCTGCAGTTTTGGAGAAGGGTGGACCATGGATGATGGAACTTCCAGTACCTTCACTCACATTCTGAGACCTCTGCAAACCTCATCCAATGATGGATCAAGACCAAACTTGGCACATAGACCTCTCATGACCCACTTTACGTCCTGGTGTTGTTTGGAAAAATTTGGAGATGGATGATGGGACTTGCAGTACCTTTGCTCACTTCCTGAGACCACTGAGACCCTCGCCAATGACTAATCAAGACTAAACTTGGCACATGGAGCTCCAATGACCCACTCTACATCCTGGTGCAGTTTGGAGGAGGACAGACCATGGATGATGGGACTTCAAGTACCTCCACTCCCTTCCAAAGATTGCTGCAACCCTCTTCTAATGACCAATCAAGACCACACTTGGCACACAGAGCCCCCATGATCCACTCTACATCCTGCTGCAGTTTGAAAGGGGATGGACTTTGGATGATGGGACTTGCAGTACCTTCACTCACTTACTGACACCACTGCCACCCTCATCTAATGACTGATAAAGACCAAACTTGGCACACAGAGCCACGATGACCCACTCTATATCCTGCTGCTGTTTGTAGGAGGATGGGCCATGGATGATGGGACTTCAAGTACCTTCACTCACTTCCTGAAAAGACCAATAAAGACCAAACTTGCCATACAGAACCACCATTACCCACTTTCTCTAATAACCCGGGCAACGCCGGGTCCCCAAGCTAGTATATAATAAAGAAGAGTGTTTGTATCGGACAGAGGAATTGTGGAGGGAGGGCGGTGTATGTGGCAGCGTTCTGATTGGCTGCCGCTGTGGTGCTATTTGCATATGGTCTCTGATTGGCCAGCTTCAATAGGAGCCCCTGGTGGAGAAGAGGGTTCATGGCAGAAACGGGGCATGACAGAAGGAAATTTGCATATGGTCTCTGATTGGCCAGCCTCAAATCCAACATTCCGAGATGAGAAAGAGAGGAAAGGAAAGGCCGGGGCCTGGGTCAGAACACTCCCAATACAGATCGAAATAGGCACACAGAGCCCCCATCACCCACTCTACATCCTACTGCAGTTTGGAGGACTATGAACCATGGATGATGGGACTTGCAGTACCACCACTCACATTCTGAGACCGCTGCTAAATCTCATCCAATGACTGATCAGGACCAAACTTCGCACAGAGACCTCTCATGACCCACTTTACGTCCTGGTGTGGTTTGGCCGGGGATGGACCGTGGATTATGGGACTTGCAGTACCATTGCTCATTCTTCAGACCACTGCAACCCTCATCCAATTACCAATAAATACCAAACTTGGCACACTGAGTCTCCATGACGCACTCTACATCCAGGTGCAGTTTGAAGGAGGATGCACCATGGACGATGGGACTTGCAATACCTGCACTCCCTTCCTAAGACCATTATAACTGCCAACAATGATGGATCAGGACCACAATTTACACAGAGAGTCCGCATAACTCACTCTACATCCTGGTGCGGTTTGGAAGAATTTGACAATGGATGATGGGACTTGCAGTCACTTCACTCACTTCCTGAGACCACTGAGACCCACGCCAATGACTCATCAAGACTAAACTTGGCACATGGAGCTTCAATGACCCACTCTACATCCTGGAGCAGTTTGGAGGACGACAGACCATGGATGATAGGACTTCAAGTACCTCCACTACCCAAGACTGCTGCAACCCTCATCTAATGTCCAAACAAAACCAAACTTGGCACACAGAGCCCCCATGACCCACTCTACATCCTAATATGGTTTGAAGTAGGGCATGCCATGGATGATGGGACTTGAAGTACCTCTACTCGCTTTCCGAGACTGCTGCAACCCTCAACAATGACTGAACAACACCAAACTTGGCACATAGACCTCTCATGACCCACTTTATGCCCTGGTGAGGTTTGACTGTGGATCGTGCATGGATTTTGGGACTTGCAGTACCTTCGCTCAATTCCTGAGACCACTGCAAAACATCATCCAATTTCCGATAAGGACCAAACTTGGCACACCGGGTCTCCATGATGCACTCTACATCCTGGTACGGTTTGGAGGATGATGCACCATGGACAATGGGACTTAGAGTACCTTCACTCAGTGAAACCACTGAGACCCTCATCCAATGACTGATGAAGACCAAACTTGGCACACAGAGCCCCCATGGCCAACTCAACATTCTGGTGAGGTTTGGGGGAGAACAGACTATGGATGATGGGACTTCAAGTACCTCCACTCACTTCCCAAGACTGCTGCAACCCTCATCTAATGACCAATCAAGACCAAACTTGGCACACAGAGCCCCCATGAGCGACTCTACATCCTGGTGCTGTTTGGAGGAGGACGGACAATGGATGATGGGACTTGCAGTACCTTCAATCACTTCCTGGAACCAGTGACACTCATCCAAATACCAAGAAAGACCAAACTTGGCACAGAGAGCCCCCATGGCCAACTCGACATTCTGGTCATGTTTGAGGGAGACTATGGATTATGGGACTTGCAGTACCTTCACCCATGTTCTGAGACTGCTGTGATCCTCATCCAATGACTGATCAAGACCAAACTTAGCACACAGAGCCCCCATGACCCACTTTACATCCTGCTGCAGTTTGAAAGGGGATGGACTTTGGGTGATGGGACTTGCAGTACCTTCACTCACTTACTGACACCACTGCCACCCTCATCTAATGACTGATAAAGACCAAACTTGGCACACAGAGCCCCCATGACCCACTCTATATCCTGCTGCTGTTTGTAGGAGGATGGGCCATGGATGATGGGACTTCAAGTACCTTCACTCACTTCCTAAAAATAATGCAGCCGTTATCCAAAGACCAATAAAGACCAAACTTGGCATACAGAACCACCATTACCCACTTTCTCTAATAACCCGGGCAACGCCGGGTCCCCAAGCTAGTATATAATAAAGGTGAAAGTTTGTATGCGGAGGACAAAAGTGTGGCGGTGTATGTGCTAGCTTTCTGATTGGCTGCCACTGTGGTCTCTGATTGGCCAGCCTGAAAGTTCCAAGATTCCGATTGGCTGGGCAGCGGTGCTATTTGCATATGGTCTCTGATTGGTCAGCTTCAAGAGGAGCCCCTGGTGGAGAAAAGAGTTCATGACAGAAACGGGGAAATGAAAAGGAAATTTGCATATGGTCTCTGATTGGCCAGCCTCAATTTCAAGATTCCGAGATGACAAAGAGAGGAAAGGAAAAGGCCAGAGGGGGCTGCGTCAGAAAATTACCAATACAGACCACACTTGGCACACAGAGCCCCCATGACCCACTCGACATCCTACTGCAACCATGGATGATGGGACTTGCAGTACCATCACTCACATTCTGAGACCGCTGTTAACCTCATCCAATGACTGATCAGGACCAAACTTGGCACATAGACCTCTCATGACCCACCTTATGTCCTGGTGTGGTTTGGCCGGGGATGGACCATGGATTATGGGACTTGCAGTACCTTTGCTCAATTCCTGAGACCACTGCATCTTTTGGTGCCAGAGTGCAGTCTGTTCAGCACCTTTCAAGTCACCCAGCCTTCTGTGTGCCCAGGGGGGAGTCTCTCATTTGGTATCAGCCATGACTGCACTCTGGTACCACGAGATGCAGAGCCAACCTTAAGAAATGGGGCTACAAAGTGGAATCCACAACATGCAAGTGTGGAGAAGAGCAAACTACAGACCACCTGCTGCAACGCAACCTGAGTGTTTTTCTTTATTTGCTGTTATAATTTTAGAGGTTTTTTTGTCAGGAAACAGATGGGACAGACACCCATCTATCACAGAAGCTGCTTCCTGGTAGTTGTGGAATCCGGACAGAATTCATTGCAAATAATATGGTGCTTGCACATATGTATTTCCCATACAGGCTTCTGGCCTAAACAGCAAGTGCATCAATGGAAAAGGAAAGAAGAAGAATTTGTACTCACCAGCTGGCCAAGATTGAGTCTCTTTGTGTTGGGCTCTCTACCAATGGCCCACAAGAGACAATCAACATCTTCAACGGTGTTGACAGTAGGTTTTTGACTGGGCGGAGAGGATGCAACTGTTACTGCTAGCCGTCCTGAAGGTGACTTTGTGACCGACTTGACCTACAGAGAAACAGGAAGTGATTAAAGAGAGAGCAAGCCTGTGCAATGCCTTCACCACTACAAGAAGATACAAATAGTAACTTACATTTCAAGACCCATTTAAAGTAAATGAGTCTTGAAATGGAATTTCAAGTATTTTGTCAACACTTCCAAAAATGTTAAGAAGCAAAGGTGTTCAAATACTTTTTGGAGAACTGCTGCCCTGCAGTATTTTCCTGTTTCCAGCAAGTAGAGTAAGTTATGCAAAACTAACTTATAAAATAATAATGTGAGATAAATTATAGAAGCAATATCTTATGCAAAATTTACTCAGTTGGCAATCACAGGAGGATAAAATAGCCATGAAAGTTACAATCGGGTGGTGCAGGGTGCCAGAGGAGGTCAGCAATAGTGAAAGCCATCATGAGAGAAAGATGCCCAGCCCTGATTCTTAGCCATGTCACAGCACAGTAGCATTCTCTCCTGCCAGATAGGCTTTTCGACTGCTTCCAGCAATACTGTTAGACATTGCTCCAATGCTTTATGTGAACATCTTGACAAAAGTCATCAAAGAATTTGGGCCACTCCTTTCTTTTAGGTATTTTGCAAATGATATGGGGCCCTCGGTGGCGCAGTAGGTTGAAGTGCTGAATTTTCTGACCAAAAGGTTGCAGGTTTGAATCTGGGGAGTGGGCTGAGCTCCCGCTATTAGCCCCAGCTTCTGCCAACCCAAAGGTTTGAAAACATGCAAATGTGAGTAGATCAATAGGTACCGCCCAGGCGGGAAGGTAACAGCATTCCATGCAGTCATGCCAGCCACATGACCTTGGAGGTGTCTATAGACAACGCCGGCTCTTTGGCTTAGAAATGGAGATTAGCACTGTGTGTTGAGAACCAGTAAGGTAGTCTGTAGTCTAAGAACTACAGGGAAAGGCTGGTTCTACTGTGTTGAGAATCAGGAAGGTTTTGGCTTTCATCCTGTGTAGTTTAGATAAGTCGAGTTGATCTATTTATATTATTAGTCAGTGTATGAGCAAAAGGGAGATATAACCCTAATAAGAATCTTTATTGCAACAGAAATAACATAAGGAAAGAACAAGCTTGTGCCTGAAGTAATCTGTTAAAAAAAGAAACACATTTTTAAGGAAAATAAGTTTGAAACCTGTTTAGTGGAAGGAATAGTCCTCTTAAGAATTGTTTTATGAAAAGTTATAAATGTAACCTCTGAAGATATGTGCCTCTAAGAGTTAAGAAAAACTGAAACTATCAAGCTTCTTCTATACTTCAATAAACTTGTTACAGTTTCTTCTAAAGCCAAGCCTCTGTTACAAATATTTTCAAGTTAATCCACGCTACACATTCAAGAAAGACCAAATCAACATTACAAGCTATTAGTTGTGTTATCAATTTAGTAAGTCCTTACAAAGTAGTGGCTCCTTTACAAATCTTTACAAATTCGTGGCATCTTTACAAGCACCAATCCCCAGAATCAGACACGACTGGACTTAATATCAGGGAAAAACCTTTACCTTTACCTTTTCGCAAATGATAATGGCCAGAATCTCATTAAGCTGTTAAAGTGGGTAACCTGATTACACACTTGTGACTTTCATATTCATTATTACTGTATTGCCCTTCATTTAGAGGTTATATAGAGTATCAAAGTCCCCCAAATCAGCTACTGTGATCAATGGGGGTCAGTTCCCTAGTTGAGTGAGAAGTAGTTGGCCAACAGTTCTATGTCTGTTTCGAAGGCTTTCATGACTGGAATCACTGGGTTGTGGTGAGTTTTCCTGGCTGTATGACCATGTTCCAGAAGCATTCTCTCCTGACGTTTTGCCCACATCTATTGCCAGCATCCTCAGAGGTTGTGATGTTTGTTGGAAACGAGGCAAGTGGTGTTTATATATCTGTGGAATGCCCAGGGTGGGAGAAAGAACTCTTGTCTGCTTGAGGCAAATGTGGATGGTGCAAATGGCCAGTTTGATTAGTGTTGTATGTCAGCCTGTTCAGCCTGTGATTGTGTCTAATGATCAGGTTGCTTTGGATGATGGGAATGACAATGTTGTGTCTAATGATCATGTTGCTTTGGATGGTGGGAATGACAATGTTGTTCATGTTCAAGTTTATTCCTCTGGTGGGAATGGGGATGCTGTTCATGAAGATGTTCTTGCTTCATCCCATGATATGATTACATTTTTGATATATTCTTCACAAAGTTTCGGAGAACCCTCACTTTTATCCTCTACTTGGTTTAACTGGTGGGAAATAGATTTGTTATTTTTCCTATTAATACTTTTAGTGTCTTGAGGCAAATCACATTCTCGCAACCTCTGAGAGAGTCAAGTGCAAACCCTCTCTGAACAAATCCTGCCAAGAAAACCCCATGACAGGGTTGCCATACGTTGAAAATGACTTGAAGGAACGCAACAACAAAAACATTTTGTTCTTCGAGGAGCAGATTACCATAGTTTTGCATTTTCTAGTTATACTTCTCAGGAGTCTTGTGCCCAATATCTATATTTGGCTCTGATGAAGCTGGAACTTGAGTGCAGAAAATACTAAACTGATTTTTGGTAGGGATGTTATCTGCATCTCTTGCACCCTCCTGTGGTGAAAAAAACTTTTCTTTTCCTATTTTATTCATAGGATGAATAAGACATCACGATCACAATCTATTCATTTAGATCTTCTCCTTTTAAATAGAGCACATTCTAAATACATGTAAAACTACTAAAAAAATCTAAAATTTTAACATACCAAATAGTATAAAAAGTGTTTTTGTTTGTGTGTCAGGAGTGACTTGAGAAACTGCAAGTCGCTTCTGATGTGAGAGAATCAGTCGTCTGCAAGGACACTGCCCAGGGGACGGCCGGATATTTTTTGATGTTTCACCATCCTTGTGGGAGGCTTCTTGCATGTCTCCGCAGGGGAAGCTGGAGCTGACAGAGGGAGCTCATCCACACTCTCCCCCGGATTCGAACCTCCAACCTGTCAGTCTTCAGTCCTGCCAGCTCAAGGGTTTAACCCATCACGCCACTGGGCAGTTCAAAGACATACTTAGGGACATCAATTTAACAGATGAGAGACCCAGTTGCCTGGCATGAATGCTGGTAAACATCACTTTTCAAAAGGTTATAACTTCTAACAAGGTCATGCCTTTCCAGTAACCAGTGACTTTCCTAATGAATCCCATTTCTCAAATGGATATGGAGATTCACATTTTCCAAAATGCTTAGCCGACAATTTTGGTGGCCCGGGCTCAGAAAAAACATCAAAGCTGTGTCGAGAAACAGAAAATGTGCTTTTATTATCATTAAAAGATAATGATCAAAACTTAACTTATAGGCAAGAAGAAGTGGCAAAATACCTGTGCATGTTTCCAGACTTCTATACCACTGCGTTCCAGCTCTTCGGTGCAGTTTGTACTAATCATTGAATCAAAGTTTCTCAGCACCTGTATGGAAAACCTTGAGTTACAGGAGTGTATGAATATGTGATTATTTGAACAAGCCCTTGGAACCTAATGCAACAGTCAAACATGGTATTAGATGATAGTGAACACTGCAATGGCTCAGGCAACGACTAATGGACAATGAGACTAACAATGAAGGCATTGGTTTTATATGTTTTATTGCATGTATTTTTAATTTTGTTAATTGTATATTGTTAGGCATCGAACTGCTGCCTGGTTGTAAGCTGCCTTGAGTCACCTTCAGGTTTGAGAAAGGCGGGATAGAAATATCGTAAATAAACAAATAAATCACTAATGTATGTGAAAATGCATTTGTAATTGGAGGATTTTGTGTATTTTTTTTCATTACTGTCATACACTGTTTCCAAATGTCTGCATCTAAGTGGCCTGTAAACAAGCACTTGTTCAACCAAAGGCAAGTATTGGTTTAGACACAAGACAATCATTCAGCTATGTTCAACTTCACATGTTGAATCAGTACAAGCTCCAGAGACATATTTTCACAAACTAACTCTTCATGAATCCAGGACAATGAAAAAGGATGTGAGTGTGCCTTTACCTACCTTATCATAACGTATCAATAAGGATGTCTTTGAGCCTAAAGCTGAAAGGATTCCAGCTAGCTCTACTGCTATGTATCCAGCACCAACAATCACACTACGCCTAAGAGAAAAAATAAAACAATTGTGAGGCCTAGTAAAGCTAAAGGTTTTCCCTGACATTAAGTCTAGTCATGTCTGACTCTGGGTGGTGGTGCTTATCTCAATTTCTAAGCCGAAGAGCCAGCATTGTCCATAGACACCTCCAAGATCATGACTGCATGAAGTGCTGATACCTTCCCGCAGAAGCGGTACTCACACTTGCATGTTTTCGAACTGCTAGGTTGGCAGAAGCTGGGCCTAACAGTGGGAGCTCACCCTGCTCCCCGGATTCTAACTGCCAACCTTTCAGTCAGCAAGTTTAGCAGCTCAGTGGTTTAACCCGCTGTGCCACTTGCTAACATAAACATAGACTTACATCCATATATAGACCTGTATGAAGTTGTTATTGCAAAAAAGATTATGTCAACAGTGGAGAAACTGCAGCTCTGATACAAAATGTCACACGCGTCATATGCAGCTCGTAACTGCACTGTATTAAAAGATTAGGTTGCTCTCTAAACCTCAGCTTTATAAATGAAAGAGGAGGTTATACGTATCTGCAATGTACATATCCATTTTTGTAGGTATAAGGTAATAATCCATAACCAACCTGCTCAATTTACGAAATAACCTCTATCACAATAGGACAACTTAGAACAGGTTCATACAGAACTGACTGCAACTTACTTGGGCAACTCTTCCAATTCAAAGAAACCATCACTAGTAATCCCCAACTTGGCTCCTACAAAGAAACGAGAAATTGCCTCAATATTTGCAGTCATTAAGTTTATGCATACTGTTAACTCATGCAAAAAGTATTTCTTCCTTCTAGTTCCTTCCCTGTTTTATTTATTGATTTATTTATTGATTGATTTTTGTGTCAGGTACGACTTGAGAAACTGCAAGTTGCTTCTGGTGTGAGAGAACTGGCTGTCTGCAAAGACAGCCAATTCTGCCCAGGGGATGTCCGGATGTTTTTGATGTTTTACCATCCTTGTAGGAGGCTTCTCTCATATCCCCACATGGGGAGCTGGCGCTGACAGAGGGAGCTCATTCACACTCTCCCTGAATTTAAACCTGCGACCTGTTGGTCTTCAGTCCCGCCAGCACAAGGACTTAACCCATTGAGCCACTGGAGGCTCCTTCCGTGATATATGACCACTTCAAGCAGCCAGCTACACATAAAATCTAAATGAGATAAACCTATCATATGTTGGAAATAGCAACCTTCTTCAAGCCTCTACTAGTTATTTGTTATATAGAGAATTCAAATTGCTTACTGTATTGTATATGTGTGTATTGGTTTGCAATTCTTTAAGTTTTTTTTGTGGGAGGGGCTTCAGACCATGTGATCCGATCTGGGCTTGTTCAGAGCTCACACTCCATTTTAAAAAACCACTCAGTTTAGACTTCAGTAGGAACAGTATGCTTTGAGACTTCATTGGACTTTCAGACTAGACAGAGACTCTATTAGACTCCCAGAACAGAGAGATGCTTTGGACTATGGACTACTGGTTCTGAGAAAGATGCCCCGTGTTACCTATGCAGAGAAACTACTTCAAATCCTATTTGTAACTGGATTGATAAGCAAAGTACCTGTATGCTGAATACATGAAGTTTGTGAGTAAATCAACTATGTAAATCAACTAGTCTACTTATTTTTGATCTCTTGAGAGGCAAATATATTTTAAGAGAGAGTAGATGTTTATCGGGCAACTAAAAGGAACACTTCTGAAACTCTGCTGAATGTGCATTGGCATAGCTTTGTCCCCAACAGAATAAAGACTTATCTAGGCACACGAGTCTAACTGCTGAGAAACCAAATGCCACGTTCCCAAAAGGTTATGACTCTAACAAGTCATGCTTTTTACCAAGAGGTTATGGCATCATTGTTCTAAAGGTTGTGACGTCTAACAAGGTCATGCCTTTCCAAAGATCACCCAAAAGCTATGAAGATTACCATCTTCCAAAATCATACAGGTACATTAACTCGACAGCTAGGATTAATAGGATTAAGTTTTTACAAAATGCACCCTGAGTGGTCAAACTAGTTCTGCTGCCATGTTACGGCTGGAATGGAGGTAAAGGTAAATAAACTTAGGCAAATTCTCATAACAAGAATCCACAGGACAAGGAAGGATAGAAAAGATATACAGGGTGTTAAAAATGTATACACCCTCAACAGAATTAACAATTACAATAGTAAGGAAACATCGCAAAATTACAAGAGAAACTTGTAAGGTTTGCAACTATGTATACAGGCAGTCCCCAAGTTACACACAGTAAAGAACAGGGGTGAGACAACAGGAAGTGAGAGAAATCTACTCCTATGAAGGGAAATTCACTTCTAAAAGAGTTATCATGAGGGAAAGGTGTCTCCACTAAAGCTTTATCACCAATCCTTGTTTCTACAAGGATAGATGTAGAAATTTTTTCCTATGCTATCTAAAACTCTGTGTGTGTGTGTGTGTATAGTAAATGTAAAGGTTTCCCCTGACATGAAGTCAAGTTGTGTCCAACTCTGGGGGGTGGTGCTCATCTCTGTTTCTAAGTCAAAGAGCCGGCATTGTCCCTAGACACCTCCAAGGCCATGTGACCAGCATGACTGCATGGAGTGTCGTTACCTTCCTGCAGAACCTATTGATCTACTCATATTTGCATGTTTCCGAACTGGTAGGTTGGCAGAAGCTGGGCCTAACAGTGGGAGTTCACCCTGCTCCCCTGATCTGAACCGCTGACCTTTCAATCAGCAAGTTCAGCAGCTTAGCAGTTTTACCCACTGCGCCACCAGGGGGCATGTGTGTGTGTATACACACACACATATATATGGCTGATGTTACTTTTTTTAAATGTACGTGTTCCAATTTACATACAAATTCAACTTAAGAACAAAGCTACAGAACCAAATTTTGTCTGCACCTTGGAGACTGCCTGCATACACAGACAGGTATTCCATTTTTTAAAAAAATCCAAAACATGAAAAACTTCTGGTCCCAAGCATTTGGGTAAGACTCAACATGGTAGAGTGGCCTCTGGGGCACCCAATGCCCAAAGTGATCAGGACAGAGGTAGAGATAGCAAGTCCCTCCTATTGAGGCCTGGCACCTTGCTGAAGGCACTGGAAACTCCAAAGAATGTCACCGACCAGAGGTAGGCCAGTATAGCCAGATGAGTTCCCAGATTAGTTAGTTATTGGCTTGAAAAGTCTTGTCTAAGCCTGGATCTAGTTGGAACCAACTACAGACATGTCTTGCTTCCGAGATTCCCTGGTGATAATAACCCTAAACTAAAGATGGCGAAAAAGGCAAAAGGGTGGGCAAACTTATTGATCCAAGGAGTTGTTGCGAGTTTTCCAGACTGCATGGCCATGTTCCAGAAGCATTTGCTCCTGACGTTTTGCCTGCATCTATGGCAGGCATCCTCAGAGGTTATGAGGTCTGTTGGAAACTAGGCAAGTAATTTTTATATAACTGGAATGTCCAGGGTGGGAGAAAGAACTCTTGTCTGTTTGAGGTAGGTGTGAATGTTGCAATTGGCCACCTTGATTAGCATTTGATGGCCCACAGTGGTTCTCAACCTGGGGTCCCCTGATGTTTTTGGCCTACAACTCCCAGAAATCCTAACAGCTGATAAACTGGCTGAGATTTCTGGGAGTTGTAGGCCAAAAACATCTAGGGACCCCAGGTTGAGAACCAGGCTTCTTACTGCCTGGGGGAATCCTTTGTTGGGAGGTGATTAGCTAGCCCTGGTTGTTTCTTATCTAGAATTTCCCTGTTTTTAGTGTTGTTCTTTATTTACTGTTATGATTTAATTTTTTTTTAGTACTGGTAGCCAGATTTTGTTCATTTTAATGGTTTCCTCCTTTCTGTTGAAATAGTTCACATGCTTGTGGATTTCAACAGCTTCTCTGTGTAGGCAGACAATACTACAAGCCTTCGACAATACATTTATTGATTTAAACCAGGAAGGGTTTTCTTAAGCTCCACCCTCATAAAACTAAGAGAAAAGTGACTATTCTCAAACTCTGGCTCCGGCTCCCCATGCGGGCAGATGAGAAAAGTTATTATATTGATATTGATGTTGATGTTTGTTGTTTAATTAATTGTTTACTGTTGCTTTAAATGTCCAATGATTTTGTACTATGTATATTGAAACTGTGTTGTTAACCGCTCTGAGTCGCCTAAGGGCTGAGAAGAGCGGTATACAAATAAAGTAAATAAATAAATAAATAAAAGCCTCCCACAAGGATGGTAAAACATCAGAAACATCTGGGAGTCCCCTGGGCAACGTCCAATTCTCTCACACCAGAAGTGACTTGCAGTTTCTCTAGTCACTCCTGACATTAAAAAAAAACTACTACAGGAAGGCTGTCATGAAAAACTACAAGGTGGAAGCCTCTTCCTCGGAGGCTTTTAAACAGAGGTTGGATGGCCATCTATCTGGGGTGCTTTGATTGTGCTTTTCCTGCATTGTAGGGGGTTGGACTAGATGACCCATGTGGTCCCTTCCAAGTCTATGATCTGTATGTACTCTGAGCAGGACCTGCATGACTTATTAAAACACTATAAACCTTGAAGTTTATTTGTGTGACTTCAAAACCAATGGGTTTTTTAAAAGAAATATATCATAAAAAGCCACACTATCTCTAAAGATCAGCCAAATGCAGTTTGATGGTGGAAGCAACTGTATTTGCCAAGGACTGATGTTAAAACACAAGTCATGTAATACTCAAACTTTTGACTGTTTTTTGGCAAATTGACGAACCAAGAATTCTGCTTTTTACCGAGATCTTTCCTAACCATAAGACAAACATAAAGATAATATTTGGAAGTGTTACCTGGTATCTCGCTCTCACTGGGGATCAAAGGCTGCCCTCCGGTAGCAATCAGGATGTGAGGCGCTGTATATTTATTACCCGCAACTTCAACTGTGGGTTCCTGATCAGTTGTGAATGATGCGTGGCCACGAATAGTTTCTATACGAGCCTAGCAAAACCAAGTTTGATCAAAACAGGTTAATGTATATGGATTGTCAGCGGCAATGATTAGATGTGTGTATGTGCCTCCAAGTCACCACTCGAGTTATGGCAACTGCATTAATGTTATTGTATATTTTTAGACTGGATCTACACTGCTATATAATCCAGTTTTTGAATCCAGACTATTTGATTAATTGGATTATATAACTGGATAATAATCCAGTTCAATGCAGATAAAACAGATTCAGAAATTGGATGATATGACAGTGTAGATGAGCCCTGGGAAGGGGAATGAGTTTACATAACCAAAGACTCTTTTTTTAACTAAAACCCCTGTTGCTCGCAGCAAAAGAGGAGCAGAGAGACAATGCTGGAGTTTTCCAATACTATCCAAGTTCTAACCAGAGCTGGCCCTGCTTAGTTTCCTGACCAGGTGGGATCTGGTGCCATTGGGATCTTCAGGCCAAAACAGTTATTCCTCCTTTGTTGTTCATTCGTTCAGTCACTTCCGACTCTTCGTCACCTCATGGACCAGCCCACACCAGAGCTCCCTGTCGGCCGTCATCACCCCCAGCTCCTTCAGAGTCAAGCCAGTCCCTTCAAGGATACCATCCATCCATCTTGCCCTTAGTCGGCCCCTCTTCCTTTTTCCTTCCATTTTCCCCAGCATCATTGTATTCTCTAAGCTTTCCTGTCTCCTCATGATTTGGCCAAAGTACTTCAACTTTGTCTCTAATATCCTTCCCTCCAATCTGTCTTGTTTATCAACACACTGTTTGTGGCTGGGGTACACACTTCTCTCATCTATTCTCCAGTTGGTATTTTTAAATACAGTCACTGAAAAGTCTGAGGTTCCATCTACGCTGCCATATAACATCCAGATTATCTGTTTTGAACTGGATTATATAGCAGTTTAGACTCATATAATCCAGTTCAAAGTACATAATGTGGATTATCTCCTTTGATTATATGGCAGCGTAGATCCAGGCCCGAGACAATCAAAACTGATATGTATATTATTAACTGGGTTGCTGTGAGATTTCTGGGCTGTATGGCCATGTTCCAGAAGTATTCTCTCCTGTTGTTTCACCCACATCTATGGCAGGCATCCTCAGAGGTACTGAGGTCTGTTGGAAATGAGGCAAATGGGGCTTATATATCTCTGGATTGTCCAGGGTAGGAGAAAGAAGTCTTGTCTGTTTCAGGCAAGTGTTGGCCACCTTGATTAGAACCGAATAGTCTTGCAGCTTCAAAATCTGGATGGTTGCTGTCTGAGGGGAATCCTTTATTGAGAGGTGTTAGCTGGCCCTGATTGTTTCCTGGCTGGGATGCCCGTTTTCTGAGTGGGCAAAACGTCAGGAGACAATGCTTCTGGAACATGGTCATAGAGCAAAACTCAGCAACCCAGTGATTCCGGCCATGAAAACCTTCAACAAACATATTTGATCAACTTCCCGCAGAAATTTCTGAAATGAAAACGCAGAGCTGTAAATTAATTTATACACTTAAATTTACCACTACCTTTCCAAAAATTTCCAAAGAGAACTAGTAGGGCTCTCTAAGGCTGGATCAACACTGCCATATAATCCAGATTATCTGCTTTGAACTGGATTATATGAGTCTACACTACCACTTGATCCAGTTCAAAGAAGGTAATCTGGATTTTATATGGCAGTGTAGATGGGGCCCAACAGGAAAGAAAGTTTAAAAGTTCTCAGGATTATTTTCTGAAGCCATTCCATTTAAATGAATATTGAGTCAATATAGTGAAGGGCTACAACAAGCTTAGTATGAATCTCTGCCCCATTTGCTAGGGATCATCGCCAACCAGTATTTCAAATACTAAGCAATGGGGAATCATTATGAAGCTTCGAAACTATATTTGTTCTGAAATTAAAAAGTGTTTCTTTAGAGACTCTACAAAACAAAATAGGAACTTTAATCAACAAATCCTCTTTTTCACACAGGGAAACAAAGATTTAATAACAGAAGGAATGCGTCTTAAGATTGGTTGGGACAGAACAGGACCATTTTACAAACCTTGTCCAAATTATTTTGATAGATCTCATTCAGTCGCTTCACATAAGCATCACGCTTTTCTTTAATTACTCTGGAACAAAATGAGTTTTATGTCACAAAGTTTCTCTCTTCTTCTCTCAAATTAGAGTAAAATCTTCATTTTAATTTATAATCAGGAATTTCAAAACATGACTCCTAGGAAAGCTTATAATAACATATCAAAAGTGCAATGCAAAGTAAGACATATTAATATTACCGTATATGTGTGTATATGTTGAAGTCAGGTTTGGAGGGCAGAATGATGGATTTTGATGTGACATGGAGATAACCCAGGGGTCGTTCCACACCAAGGCCAATTCAAGAGCCAGCCACTGCTGCCATTTCCTCACCCAGGCATTCAAAAAGGCTAGACGTGGCATCATAGCAGAGAGAGTAAATGGGATTGGTGCTTCTTTTAGGATCTCCCATGATAGAAAAAGCTCTCAGAAAGGGAGATAGTTCCCTTTCTTGGTAACAGTTAAGGTACAATAGTCATATGGCCCATGGCAAAGTTGACCCAGGTTTACCCATTTGGGGGGGGGGGGTTGTACATGAGTATACAGGCAGTCTCCAAGTTACAAACATCTGACTTACAAATTACTCCTAGTTAAGAACAGGAGTGAGACAAGAGGAAGTGAGAGAGAAATCTACGTCTCAGAAGGGAAATTCACTCCTGCAAGAGTTATGATGGGGAAAAGGCGTCTCCACTAAAGCTCTCATCACCAATCCTTGTTTCCACAACAAGCCAAAATGTTCAAAATCCAGTTATCACAGGGACAGAAAGTGAAGTATTATCTTCTCAACAGGAGTACAGACAGCAAAACAAACACCATTGGGGTGTTTACAATTCCCTATGCTATACAAAGATAGAAAATAAATATATATATATATATATATATATATATATATAGACACACACACACACGTGTGTGTGTGTGTGTGTGTGTGTGTGTGTGTGTGTGTGTGTGTGATGTTTGTTTGTGGGATTAACAGAACTCAAAAACCAGTGGGCGAATTGACACCAAATTTGGACACAATACACCTATTAGGTCAACGAGTGACCATCACTCATAAAAACACTGAAAAACACAGCGGAAGAGACTTAAAAAGCCAAAAAATAAAAATACATTACATTGCATGCGTAAAACCACATATATACACATATACACAAATATATACACACACATATACACACAAAAAACACATATACACAGACTGGGCCACAGCAACACATGGCAGGGGACAGCTAGTATAGGGCACAAGCAATGGTCTAAATTCCCCCAAACAAAACAACGTTCAAAGAATCCTGATGCACAGCCATAAAAAGGAGCACAAGTGTTTTTTCATTGCCATCTATCAACTTCTATTAAGCTGTTTGGTTTGTTATTAACATATTTACATGAAGTATTCCAGATTTCTATATGACTTACCTCCAATTAAATTTCACATTGGATATTTCAAAACCATAGTCTTCATGATCATGGATGAATTCAGAGTGGACAGCAGTATTCCACATCACCTGTTGGAGAGGAGACACACATCAACAGTTTAAGATGTAATAATACACGAAACATGACGTAAAGCTAATCAATCCATTGTGCAAAACAAACTGGACACATATTTAGGACAGGGAAAGGTGTGTAATGCATAGAGACCCAACTGTGAGTACTTTGGTTAGGACTGAGCAGGATATAGCTCATAACATATCAAGGTAAGAATAACCCACTGGCCATGTAACACAGTTTCCTGCCAGAAGTCATATCTTGATTTATTCAGCCACTGACGGGCTATATATTGCATGGCTGCTAGGCTACAATCAAAATGATGAGCCTCCATTTGTGCAGACTAAAATAATTCCATGAAACTGAGTTGTTGTGAGCTTTCCAGACTGTATGGCCATGTTCCAGAAGCATTCTCTCCTGACGTTTCACCCCCATCTGTGACAGGCATCTTCAGAGGTTGTGAGGTCTATTGGAAACTAGGGAAGTGGGGTTTATATATCTGTGGAATGTCCACAGTGGGAGGAAGAACTCTTGTCTGTTTGAGGCAAGTGTGGATGCTGCAATTGGCCACCTTATCATTGAATGGCCTTGCAGCTTCAAGGCCTGGCTGCTTCCTGACTGGGGGAATCCTTTAAACAAAATCTGGCTACCATTACTAAAAAAACCCCACTCTAAAATCAGGACAATAAACAAAGAAAATAGGGGAATTCCAGACAGGAAACAATCAGGGCCAGCTAACACCTCCCAACAAAGGATTACGGCTGGGCTCTTCCCGTTATGGGCACCCAAACAAAACAGAAGCCGGACTAGCCGAAAGGAATGGCTAAAAACAGATCCGGGCTCAAGCCTACTTTGTGGGCCTATAACAGGTCATAGGGAACTATTATTATTATTATTATTATTATTATTATTATTTATTATTATTATTATTATTAGAAACACAACAAACAGCAAACAAGATCACTCTGCTGGCTGTTGTATTGGATCACATGTCGGACACTTCCCAAGTGTCTAGAACAGTGTGATGTATCAGCGAATAATACATGCAGATCCCAATAAGGTGGAAGATGGTAATTTTATCAGCGCCGATTGTATTTAAGTGTAGGCCAAGGTCTTTAGGCACAGCACCCAGTGTGCCGATCACTACCAGGACCATCTTTACTGGCTTGTGCCAATTATTATTATTATTATTATTATTATTATTATTGTTTTTATTTATACTTTTCTTTTTCTCTCCATAAGGAGACTCAAAGAGGCTTACATTCAAAGCATTGCAACACAGTTTAAAATGTTCAAAAATACAAACATTAAAACAGAACTAAACATCAGTGGTGTTAAAAATTTTGCCGTTAAAAAAGTTAAAACTTTGGGGAGTATCAAGTGTTGTGATCTATAAAAGATCAACTGACATCCTATAGCCTCGCAATATTTGATGCAGAAGGGCTTCCACAACTAAAGGTGCAGATAAACACTAAGCAAGAAGAGATCAAAAGTGATGGGTCAAGACCTGCATGCATTTACGAACTTTCCTGCTGCCATTTTCTTGTTCTTGCGTGTCTTCAAGTAATTTATGACTCATGGCGGCTGTAATGATAGGTATGCCTTAGCGTTGCCATAAGTCAGAAACAACTTGAAGGCACAAAGAACATTTACTGCTTCAAGCTCAGGACAGAACATGTTAGAAAAGCCTTGCGGTTAGTCACCAAAATGGAGCAATACTAGCAATTTCTTCTGGACAAGTAACATGCCAGAGCAACGGACAAAAGCTTACCGGTGGTAATGCAAACTTACAAAAGAGTAACCAGTTAGGCAGTGTTGCAATCTAGCAATTTTCTTTAACTCTTTGCAAGCCAGAGCCAAATGCAACAGTCTCTCTGGGTATTTCTTTTGCATACTATTACAGGGAATGGACACAGAAACTAAGGGGCCCTTCCACAGAGCCATATAACCCAGAATATCAAGGCAGAAAACCCCACAATATCTGCTTTGAACTGGATTATCAGAGTCCACACTGACATATATTCCAGTTCGAAGCAGATAATGTGGAATTTTATCTGCCATCAATTCGGCCATTAATTCGGCTTAAAAACAATAAAGAATCAATGATTCAAATTCGGCCTAGGGGGAGGAAAAGAAATCAAAACAATTTAATAAAATGTAATCGGTCTCCTGACAGGGTAAATGGGTGTAACCAGGTCAGCGGTCCCTCCGGGTTGAAGATGGTGCTGTTGAACGCCAGATCTGTCAATGGTAAAACATCTTTCATCCAGGATCTAATTCTGGATGAACGGGCAGATCTGGCGTGCATTACGGAGACCTGGTTGGACGAAGCTGGAGGAGTTAATTTAACCCAGCTTTGCCCACCAGGTTTCTCCGTACAGCACCAGTCGAGACCTGGAGGGCGGGGAGGCGGAGTAGCGGTAGTCTATAAAAATTCGATCCCCCTGACCAGAGGCCCCATCCTTCAGTCGACTAATTTTGAATGTGTCCACCTGAGGGTGGGAGACCGGGACAGAATAGGGATTCTGCTAGTGTACCGCCCACCTCGCTGCACTACAGTCTCCCTGCCTGAGCTAGCGGGGGTGGTCTCGAGCCTGTCATTGGAGTCCAAACGGCTCCTTGTGCTGGGGGACTTCAATATACACGCCGAGACTGCCCTAGGGGGAGCGGCTCAGGACTTCATGTCTTCCATGGCAACCATGGGGCTGTCCCAACAAGTAACTGGCCCCACCCACAGTGCTGGGCACACATTGGATTTGGTCTTCTGTCAAGGATGGGAGCAAGGTGGCGGGGTCGAGGAGTTATCCATCTCTCCGTTGCCATGGACCGACCACCATCTGGTCAGCTTTAGACTCACTGCACCTCCTAACCTCTGCAGAGGTGGGGGACCCATTAAGTTGGTCCGCCCCAGGAGGCTTATGGATCCGGATGGATTCCTGACGGCTCTTGGGGAGTTTCCCGCCACCTCGGTAGGTGATCCTGTCGATGCCCTGGTTGCTCTCTGGAATGGGGAGATGACTAGGGCAATAGACACGATTGCTCCGGAACGTCCCCTCTCAAGTAGCCGAGCTAAACCAGCGCCTTGGTTCAACGAGGAGCTGGCAGCAATGAAGCGAAAAAAGAGGAGACTAGAGCGTGTGTGGCGTTCGGATCCGAGCGAGTCAAACCGAGCACGGTTTGTTGCCCTATTAAGGGCATATGCCGTGGCAATAAAGGCGGCAAAGAAATCCTTCTTTGCGGCCAATATTGCGTCCGCAAAGAACCGTCCGGCTGAGCTGTTTCGAGTTGTCAGAGGCCTGTTGAAGCCCACCATTTCGGATGGGAGCCCTGACAACTCGGCGGCTCGCTGTGAAGCATTTGCACGGTTCTTTGCGGACAAAGTCGCTTTGATCCGTTCAAGTCTGGATACCATGTTAACGGCAGTCTCTGAGAATGTGACGAGAACACCTGTCTGTCCGATTTTGATGGATTCGTTTCAATTTGTGAAACCGAGGATGTGGACAGGATCCTTGGAGAAGTGAGACCTACCACATGCATCCTAGACCCCTGCCCATCCTGGCTGATAAAGGAAGCCAGAGGGGGATTAGCGGAGTGGGTAAAGGTCGTGGTTAGTGCCTCTTTACAGGAAGGAAAGTTTCCAGCAAGTTTAAAACAAGTAATAAAACCGCTGTTGAAAAAAACATCACTGGACCCCACTCAATTCGTCAACTATCGGCCTGTTTCCAATCTCCCCTTTTTGGGCAAAGTCCTGGAACGTGTGGTGGCCTCACAACTCCAAGCATTCTTGGTAGACACTGATTATCTGGATCCGGCACAGTCTGGCTTTAGGCCGGGACATGGTACCGAGACAGCCTTGGTCGCCTTAGTGGATGATCTCCGGCGTGAGCTTGACAGGGGGAGTGTGTCCCTGTTGGTTCTGCTGGACCTCTCAGCGGCCTTCGATACCGTCGACCACGGTATCCTTCTGGGACGCCTTGCGGGAATGGGCCTGGGAGGCACTGTTTTACAGTGGCTCAGGTCCTTCCTAGAGGATCGTTCCCAGAAGGTGTTACTGGGGGACAACTGCTCGTCCTCACAACCATTGATTTGTGGGGTCCCGCAGGGTTCAATACTGTCCCCCATGTTATTTAACATCTACATGAAGCCGTTGGGAGAGATCATCCGGAGTTTCGGGTGCGGTGTTATCTGTACGCAGATGACATCCAACTCTGTCACTCCTTTCCACCTATTACTAAGGAGGCTGTCCAGGTCCTGAACCGGTGCTTGGCCGCTGTGTCGGACTGGATGAGGGTGAACAAATTGAAACTCAATCCAGACAAGACAGAGGTACTCCTGGTCAGTCGGAAGGCCGAGCAGGGTATAGGGTTACAGCCTGTGTTGGACGGGGTCGCACTCCCCCTGAAGACGCAGGTTCGCAGCTTGGGTGTGACTCTGGATTCTTCGCTAACCTTGGAACCCCAAGTTTCGGCGGTTTCCAGAGGAGCATTTGCACAGCTTCGGCTTGTGCGCCAGCTGCGCCCGTATCTTGGGAGGTCGGACTTGGCCACGGTAGTCCACGCTCTTGTCACATCCCGTATAGATTACTGCAACGCGCTCTACGTGGGGTTGCCCTTGAAGACTGCCCGGAAGCTTCAGATGGTCCAGCGCTCGGCAGCCAGGTTGCTAACGGGAGCGGCTCTCAGGGAGCATACCACCCCCCTGTTGAACCAGCTCCACTGGCTGCCAATTTGCTACCGAGCACAATTTAAGGTGCTGGCTTTAGCCTATAAAGCCCTACACGGTTCCGGCCCCACTTACCTCTCCGAACGCATCTCCACCTATGAACCGGCAAGGGCGTTAAGATCGTCCGGGGAGGCCCTGCTCTCGGTCCCGCCAGCGTCACAAGTGAGGTTGGCGGGCACGAGAGACAGGGCCTTCTCGGTAGTGGCCCCTCGGCTATGGAATGCGTTACCAGCGGACATCAGGCAGGCCCCTTCGTTGCTGGCGTTTCGAAGGAGGGTTAAGACGTGGCTCTATGAGCAGGCATTCGGTTAGCCATGCAGTAACAACCACCCAATAATGACGGCATTGAACAAGGATTGAATTAAGGACTATGAGAACGGGATCTGATTCTAAGTAGGCGTTGATGATTATGTGTATTGTTTGTGGATGTGTGTCTTATATATTGTTCACTGTTTATTTTTACTGTAAACCGCATTGAGTCGCCGTTCCAGGCTGATAAATGCGGTATACAAATAGAGTAAATAAATAATAATAAATAAATAATTTTATTTAGCAGTGTGGAAGGGGTCTAAGATAAAGCCCATAAAATTAGATTGGATGAATGAGTTTTCCCTATGCCAAGGTAAAACTTGGGAAATATTTAATTCTTTCGGAGGGGGGTTTATAGGGTTTTTTAAATGTTCACTTTTCAATTAAAACAAAAATTAGGCAAATCCACAACAACACATTTAGATTTACTTTACCTTTTTAGGCACACATCCAACATTCACCTAGAAAAGGAAATAAAAACAATAATTATCGAATGGCAGGATTTTAAAGATAAGTACATACTCGCAGAACATGCACAAACTGATCAAACTAGATTTGGCATTTTTTACTATTTCGTACTCTGAATTCATCACTATGGTCAGTATAAGGTCAAGGGACTTTACTACAGGCATGGGCAAACTTTGGCTGTCCAGATGTTTTGGACTTCAACTCCCACAATTCCGAACATTTTTTGGGTTTTTAAAAAAACCCTGGTTTACTCATGAATTTTAACTGGTTAATCAAATTCCAATATCAAATATATGAGTTCCCCAAGCACTATATCAACCACATTTTGATTATTCAAATGATCATTTCCTACTTACCAGGGGGAAAAATGAAATGCAAAGATACAGAATGAGGGAGGCCTGGCTCGACAGCATTACATGTGAAAAAGATCTTGGAGTCCTCATGGACAACAAGTTAAACATGAGCCAACAATGTCATGTGGCAGCTTGAAAAGCCAATGGGGTTTTAGCTGGCATAAATAGGAGTCTAGTGCCTAGATCCAGGGAAGTAATGCTACCCCTCGATTCTGCCTGGATCAGGACACACCTAGAATCACACTGTGTCCAATTCTGAGCACCATAATCCAAGGGAGATGTTGAGAAGCTGGAATGTGTCCAGAGGAGGGCGACTTGGATGATCAAGGGTCTGGAGAACAAACCCTATGAGGAGTGGCTTAAAGAGCTCGGAATGTTTAGCATGAAGAAGAGAAGGCTGAGAGGAGATGTGATGAGGCCCATGTATCAAGATGTCATAGGGAGGAGGGAGCAACCTTGTTTTCTGCTACCCTGGAGACTAGGACGCGTAACAATGCCTTCAAACTACAGGAAAGGAGATTCCACCTAAACATTAGGAAGAACTTCCTAACTGTGAGACTTGTTCAACAGTGGAACTCTCTGCCTTGGAGTGTGGTGGAATTTCCTTCTTTGGAGGCTTTTAAGGATAGCCTGGATGGCCATCTGTTAGGGATGCTTTGAATGTGATTTTCCTGCTTCTTGGCAGGCGGATAGACTGGACGGCCCATGAGGTCTCTTCCAATTCTATGATTCATTCCACCAATTTACATTGCAATAGAAGCAATAACTGCCATAGTTAAAAGAGAGCTTGTGGTCCATTCAGTCCAACCCCATTCTGCCAAGAAGCAGGAAAACTGCATTCAAAGCACCCCCGACGGATAGCCATCCAGCCTCTGCTTAAAACCTTCCAAAGAAGAGCCTCCATGTAAGCCGCCCTGAGTCCCTTAGGGGAGATGGAGGCAGTGTATTAAAATAAAGTTGTTGTTGTTGTTGTTGTTGTTGTTGTTGTTGTTGTTGTTGTTGTTATTATTATTATTATTATTATTATTATTATTATTATTATTTTAAAGGAGTGTTTAGGTCCCCTGAAAAGTCTCCCTGTTGAAGTGGATTATGTAGATGTAAAGTGTTGTCCTCCTCATCCTCAACATCCCCGGTGCATTTGTCAAGGATAATCCATTGAGATGCGTCCAAGAGCCCATCATTCTCCTAAGTGTGTTCCTGTTGCACTTAGTCTACAACTGGGGACAGAGCATCTGTGTGATTGTGTAAATGTGGATGTGGATGTGGTGAAGGGTCACCCCACTCAGGGCTATCCCCCACGCATTGATCAAGGACGGTCCACTGAGTGGTATCTAAGTAATCGTGGTCCTCCCTAGATGTTGTGTTTCCTGATCAGGCGTTAGTGGTGTATTCTGTGTGCCAAGTTTGGTTAAATTCCAATGTTGGTAGAGTTCAGGATGCTCTTTGATTAACTCTAAATCCCAGCAACTACAACTCCCAAATGACAATATCAACCACCCCACCCCACCAATATTCAAATGTGGATCTATCGGATATTCCCCCTCCCCCCACTCCTATCTTATTCAGGGTTTTATCATTTTTGTCATTTTTTGTTGTTTTGTATTTTATTTTGCTGTATTGTATTTTTGGTCTTGACCTCATGTGAGCCGTGGTAATTTCAGGGCCTTGTTGAGATCGCCTGTCAGGAGACACTGGCCTCAAAAGACATCTGGGCGGGAGGGGGGGGGGGATAAACTTCCAACCCCTCCTTAATTTTTTTTCTGGTTAGGGGCCTGATTCCAAAATATTGAAGCATTTGGGATCAAGGTTACCAGTGTTCCTTCATAGGGAAGAGGGAGCCTGCTGAAATTAAACAGAGGCAGGGTGGCCATCTGCCGGGGGTGCTTTGATTGTGCCTTTCCTGCATGGCAGGGGGTTGGGCTGGATGGCCCTTGGGTTCCTTCACAGGGAAGAGGAATGCTGAAGATATTACACAGAGGCTGGGTGGCCATCTGTCGGGGGTGCTTTGATTGTGCCTTTCCTGCATGGCAGGGGGTTGGACTGGATGGCCCTTGGGTTCCTTCACAGGGAAGAGGAATGCTGAAGATATTAACGGAGGTTGGGTGGCCATCTGTCGGGGGTGGTTTGATTGTGCCTTTCCTGCGTGGCAGGAGGTTGGACTGGATGGCCCTTGGGTTCCTTCATAGGGAAGAGGAAGCCTGCTGAAATTAAACAGAGGCTGGGTGGCCATCTCTTGGGGTTGATTTGATTGTGCCTTTCCTGCATGGCATGGGATTGGACTGGATGGCCCTTGGGTTCCTTCACAGGGAAGAGGAATGCTGAAGATATTACACAGAGGTTGGGTGGCCATCTGTCGGGGGTGGTTTGATTGTGCCTTTCCTGCATGGCAGGAGGTTGGACTGGATGGCCCTTGGGTTCCTTCACAGGGAAGAGGAATGCTGAAGATATTACACAGAGGTTGGGTGGCCATCTGTCGGGGGTGGTTTGATTGTGCCTTTCCTGCATGGCAGGAGGTTGGACTGGATGGCCCTTGGGTTCCTTCACAGGGAAGAGGAATGCTGAAGATATTACCAGAGGTTGGGTGGCCATCTGTCAGGGGTGGTTTGATTGTGCCTTTCCTGCATGGCAGGAGGTTGGACTGGATGGCCCTTGGGTTCCTTCATAGGGAAGAGGAAGCCTGCTGAAATTAAACAGAGACTGGATGGCCATCTGTCGAGGGTGCTTTGATTGTGCCTTTCCTGCATGGCAAAGGATTGGACTGGATGGCCCTTGGGTTCCTTCATAGGGAAGAGGAAGCCTGCTGAAATTAAACAGAGACTGGATGGCCATCTGTCGAGGGTGCTTTGATTGTGCCTTTCCTGCATGGCAAAGGATTGGACTGGATGGCCATTGAGTTCCTTCATAGGGAGAGGAAGTGTGCTGAAATTACACAGAGACTGGATGGTCATCTGTCGAGGGTGCTTTGATTGTGCCTTTCCTGCATGGCAAAGGATTGGACTGGATGGCCCTTGGGTTCCTTCATAGGGAAGAGGAAGCCTGCTGAAATTAAACAGAGACTGGATGGCCATCTGTCGAGGGTGCTTTGATTGTGCCTTTCCTGCATGGCAAAGGATTGGACTGGATGGCCATTGAGTTCCTTCATAGGGAGAGGAAGTGTGCTGAAATTAAACAGAGACTGGATGGTCATCTGTCGAGGGTGCTTTGATTGTGCCTTTCCTGCATGGCAAAGGATTGGACTGGATGGCCATTGGGTTCCTTCATAGGGAAGAGGAAGCCTGCTGAAATTGAACTGAGGCTGGGTGGCCATCTGTCGGGGGTGCTTTGATTGTGCCTTTCCAGAATGGCAGGGGGTTGGACTAGATGGCCCTTGGGGTCCCTTCCAAGTCTCATAGACTTGGGAAAGCAGAGGAAGGCTGGCAGTACAAGGCGATGCCAACCCGATGCCTCGCTTCCTCAGTGCAGACCCTCCCTTCCCCTTCCCGGGACTCACGCATGTGCCTCCCAGGGCTCCACTCTCGACCACGGCCACCCGGGCCCCGATTTCTGCGGCGCGCCGGGCGCAGGCCAGGCCCCCCGAGCCGCCCCCCAGCACCAGGAAGTCGAAGGCGGCCGAGGAGGAAGAAGAAGAGAAGGAGGAAGCACGCAGCTGGGCCATGGCTAGGGCTTTGCCTTTGGCAGCGGCAGGCGAGGAGAGGAAGGCGGCGAGGCGGAGGCGCGGCGGGAGCAGCAGCAACAGCAGCCCCATCCCGCCTCCCTTCTGGACACTCCCTCCTTCTGCGGCACCGCCCACCACGCTGTGATTGGCCACGCACACATCAGTCATTCTCACGAAAAACCCTTCCCTGGGAAAGGAGGCGGGGTTAGGGATGGAATCCCCGCCTTTCGAGGAAGCATCACCTTTGGCACTCTCTGCTCTTTCCACTCCCCTTTCTCTGAGCAGGAAAGGAGTGGTCCAAGTTAAGGGAGGAGCCTTTCACAGCCTCCCTAGAATTCTGCAGGAATATTGATATTCATATTATACCAGGGTTGAATGAAAAGTAATGCCTCCACCTTCGTAATTCCTCAACAGATGGCAGTACTGGTATGCCATCTGTTCTGGCTTGTTCAGTAGACTCTCCTCTACAGTTCCATTTTGGCAGGAAGCCTTAGCATTGAACGGTTGTGTTGTTAAAGTGCGAAGTATAAAACCCTGCGCAATGCAATTTAAGCAATGTGCAGTCATTGAATTATTGACAGCAGAAGATGTCACTCCCAAAGGAGATTCATCAGAGAATGCAAGCTGAACAAGCCAGCAGCAAGTACTGGCTTGTTCAGCAGACTTTCCTCTACAGTTCCATTTTGGTGGGAAGCCTTAGCATTGAATGGTTGTGTTGTTAAAGTGCAAAGTATGGAACCCTGAGTAGATGGTCGGTCAATGCAACTTATGCAACGTGTAATTGAATTCTTGACAGCAGAAGGTGTCACCCCAAAGGAGATTCATCAGATAATGCAAGCTGTTTATGGTGGTTGTGTTGATGTGAGTATTGTACGTTGTTGGGCGAGTAAGTTGAAAGATGTTGAGGTGGGAACATCTGACTTGCGTGATAAACAAAGAGTTGGACGTCCTGTGACAGCAACCACCTTTTCACAAGCGAAAGGTTGACAGATTGATTCAGAACGATCGTCGTATCACTCAGAAGGAAATTTCAAGCATAATCAGTATTTCACAAGAACGTGTGGGTCACATTATTGCTTTGCCGTGTGAGTTCCCATCAGCCCAGAGGAGGCACCTCCAAGGTCAAAAGGTAACTGTCAAAAGGTCAAAAGAAAGCCCAAAAGTCAGGAGTTAAAGGTAAGTGGTCAACGGGTAAAGGTCAGGGTCAAAGGTCAAAAGGGCAGGGGTCAAAAGGGCGGGTGCCAGGAGTCAAATGGTCAAAGGTCAGCATCAAAGATCATATTTCAGGGGTCAGAAGATCGAGAGTCAAAAGTCAGAGGTCAAGAGGTCGAAGGTTGGGGTCAAAGGTCGATGGCCAGAGGTTTGAGATTAAAGATCAGGGGTGAAAGATTTATCATTATCAGTCAGTCGTGTGGGTCGCAATGGTCTCAGGGAGTGAAGGTAGTGCAAGTCTCATCATCCATGATCCATCCTCCTCCAAAAAGCACGAGGATGTAGAGTGGGTCATGGGGTCTGTGTGCCAACTTTCATCCTGTTCTGTCAATGTTGGGGGCCACAGTGGTCCTTAGGGGTTGAAGCGTTTGAAAGTACTGCAATATGCATCATCCCCCAAACTGAACCAGGATATAAAGTGGGTCATGTGTGCTCTGTGTACCAAGTTTGTTCTTGATTTGTCATTCGTGTGGGTCTCTGGAAGTAAGTGAAGGTACTCCAAGTCCCATCATCCATGGTCCATCCTTCTTCAAACTGCACCAGGATGTAGAGTGGGTCGTGGGGGCTCTGTGTGGTTGTGATCTGATGTTGCCGGGGACCGCAGTGGTCAAAGGTCAAAAATCAGGATTCAAAGGTTGGGGTCAGGGGTCAAATGTCAAAAGGTCAGGGGTCAAATGTCACACTTTTGACCTTTAAGTTTGACCGTTGACCTGATTTGACCTTTGAGTTGACATTTGACCTTTTGTTTGACCTTTAGATTTGACCTTTGATGTTTGGATTTGACCTTTTCAAGAAGTGAGTAAAAATATCTTTTCAAGAAGTGAGTGAATATAATCTCATCACCCATTGTCCCACAAACATTGTCCCCTGAACCTTTGACCTTTGTCCTTTTGGTTTGACTTTTGACCTTTTGATTTCACCTTTGACCTTTTGGTTTAACATTTGACCTGATTTGACCTTTGACCTTTTGGTTTGATCGACCTTTGGATATGACCGACCTTTTGGATTTCACCATTTGGTTTGACCTTTGACCTTTTTGTTTTACATTTGGCCTATTGAGTTGACCTTTGGATTTTATATTCACTTTTTGTTTTGACCTTTGACCCTCAAACTCTGACCTTTTGGTTTGACCTTTGACCTTTGTATTTGACCTTGATCTTTAACCTTTGGGTTTGACCTTTTTGAGGAGTGTAACTGCCAGTCCCATCATCCATTGTCCCACAAATATCAACCACTGAACCTTTGACCTTTGTCCTTTTGGTTTGATCTTTGACCTTATGATTTGACCTTTGACCTTACACTTGATGTATGACCTTTTGGTTTGACCTTGATCTTTCATTTAACCTTTGACTTCTGACCTTTTGGTTTGACTTTTGACCTTTTGATTTGATCTTTGACTTTTGACCTTTTAATTTGACTGTTGACCCTTTGATTTGACCGTTGACATTTTATTTAACCATTTTATTTAACCTTTGACCTTTGTTTTGATATTTGACCTTTTGAGTTGACCTTTCACCTTTGAACTTTTGATTTGACCTTTGACATTTGACCATTGATTTGACCTCTCAGGAAGTGAGTGAAGGTACTGCAAGTCCCATCATCCATGGTCCGCCCTCCTTCAAACTTCACCTGTCATGGGGAGTCTGTGTGCGCTTGTGCATGTCACAGTGTCATGCTCATCTGTCACTGTTGGGAGCCGCAGAGGTCTGTGGGTGCTGAAGCATTTCAAAGTACTGCAAATCCCATTATCCTTGGTCCATCCTCCCCCAAACCACAGTATTTATTTATTTATTTATTTACTTTGCTTATATACCGCTGTATCTCAAGCCCGAAGGCGACTCACAGCGGTTCACAAACAGTAAAAACAGTAGAAACAGCAGTGGTTCCATACAACATATAACAATTGACTTAACACATTATCCATAAATTACCAATAAGCAATTACAATGCACAATTATTACAAAAAACAACCGTACCCAATCTTCTCAACATCCAAGTGTAGTCCAGGTTCGTCGTCCATTGTTCCATTCCTATGTTCCATTACCAGATTGCACTAAATTACTCAAACGCCTGCACAAACATCCAGGTCTTCACCTTTTTGCAGAATACCATTAGAGATGGTGCTAGTCTAATGTCCGTAGGAAGGGCTTTCCACAGCCGAGGAGCCACCACCGAGAAGGCCCTATCTCTCGTCCCCGCCAGCCGAGCTTGAGAAGCAGGCGGGATCGAGAGCAGGGTCTCCCTGGAAGATCTCAAAGTCCTGGTGGGTTCATAGGCAGAGATGCGGTCAGATAGGTATCACAGTAGGACGTAACGTGGGTCATGGGGGTTATGTGTGCCAAGTTTGGTCCAGGTCCATCATTTGTAGGGGTTACAGTGTCCTGTGAAAGTGGCAGCCAATCAGACCTTTGACCTTTTGATTTGACATTTGACCTTTTGATTTGACATTTGACCTTTTTGGTTTGATTTTTGACCTTTTGGTTTGACCTTTTGATTCAACCTTTGACTTTTGTTGATTTATACGATCTGAAGAGAAACCAGCTTTTGTTTGACCTGTGACCTTTTGATTTTACCTTTGACCTTTTGATTTGACCTTTGACCTTTTGTCAACATTTGACTTGACATTTTGTTTGACCTTTGACATTTGGATTTTACCTTTGACCTTTTGGTTTGACCTTTGACCTTTTGAGTTGACCTATATATATAATTTTGTTATGTGGAATACTACGGTTTCAAAATGAAGTAGAGTTGTGCACGAATCCGTTTTCCTTTGTTACATTCACTCTTTCGATACTTTTGTTACCTTCAGGAGCACGCAATGGGAAACCCCCTCCCAGTATGAAATTAAGTTCAATACAGCTTAATTTCCCAGCTCCTTGTCTGTTTTTCGTGAGAAACCTCCTTGCCTTGGAAAGAGTGCATGTGTAGCACTCCAGATATCCACCCTCCTGATTTCAGGAGGCTCTCAAAAAATGGATAAAGGCCCCCACCAAAAGCTGGGACATGAAATGGGTCAAGGCTTACCCTGATAGCACAAGCCCAAAATGAAGCAATTGTGCTTTTGTGGCTTCGAGAGCAGACAACACAGAATTTTGTGCTGCCTTGAAGACTGACCATTTATATTTAGTCCAAGCACATCAATATGATTATGTTTAAAGCCAATCCATATTTTTCAAAGGGGTGTCTTATTTCCAGAAATAGTTGTATAGCTTTGCTTAGAATGACAGCTTTCTAAAAGGCAACACAAATTACAAAAAGAAATCAGAAACTCAAGTGGAGGGCAGCCTCTTCTGTGGATTATTTCCTTGAGTTCACAGAGTAAGGTCTTTATGCAACAAATCTGGAGAAACATTACTTTAAAATTTCATATGCCATTAACCCTATTTTCCCTATTAACCTTATTTATTTATTTATTTATTTATTTATTTATTTACTGTATTTGTATACCACCTTTCTCAGCCTGTCGGACTCTTGTCCATGCTATACCACAAGTCTGATTTCTCCTTTTTGGTTCTATTCCACTTCTACAATGGCCACAGCTTCCTTTCAGGGGTGAAATAATATGCCCTGTAATTATCTTTGTATTATTCAACTTCAAAGTCAAAGTTGTGATATTTGACATATTAAATAGACATCCATGTGGAGGAAAACACATAAATAAGTACTCATAGCATAGGCAGAAGACAACTATATTAATTCTCCTACCAGACAGTGGGGCTTCTTAAACTTTTTTGCAGAGTCCACTGTAAATGCTGCATGTTGTTGTGAACAGATTTGTGTAAATCGGTGGCATTTGCTGTTGCCAAATTTTTCATGATACCCATATTGAACTTAAGGAGCCACGGTAGCACTGTGGGCTAAACCGCTAGCTGCAGGAAAAGCTGCTGACCAGAGGGTTAGCAGTTTGAAGCCGCGAGCTGAGATGAGCTCCTGACTGTCAGCCGTAGCTTCTGCCAACCTAGCAGTTTGAAAGCATGTACAGTAATGCAAGGAGATCAATAGGTACCTCAGCAGAAAGGTAAAAGGGTGCCCCATGAAGACATGCAGAAATGCCGACAACAAAATTGGAGATGTCTATTGTCAGCAGGCTCCTCGGCATGGAAAAACGGAACAAGGCCGGAGTTGATCATCAGCTCCAGACATCAGAGATGGAAAGGGGAAGGCCTTTACCTTGTTTGTGTATTGTATGTTGTTGTTCATTGTGTAAAAGGCATTGAATGTTTGCCTTATGTGTATACTGTAATCCGCTCTGAGTCCTTCCGGGGAGATAAAGCGGAATATAAATAAAGTGTATTATTATTAATATTATTATTATTATTATTAGGGGTCAAGACCCACACTATTATACCATACTATACAATCTCATCTAAAGATCTATGCTTTGTGAAAGGAGGATTACAGATATTGCCATCATTGCAATGATGAAGAAAATATTCCATAACAAATACTCTGGATTTGATATGCGAAACATATCTTCCGTGATGCGGTCAAACTACAGCTCCCATCCTCCCTTATTATTGGCTGTGCTGACTTGGGCTGAAGGGAAATACAGTCCAATCCTATCAAAAGGATGACATATTCTACAGCCCTCCTCAAGGTCAAAATGTAGATGATGTTAGCAATGACCAAAAAAACCATTCTTTTGTTTGTAATCCAGTGTCTTTATTGACCACTAGCCATTGAACAGTTGTTGAAGGACAAACATGCAGAGCTCCCAGTCTTCATTGGTGAGAGGTCATTGGCACAAGGAGGCTAGTATTTGGACTCTGTGCAGCCAAGGTGTAATCCAGACTTCAAAATAGCAACTGTATGTCTATATTGAGAAGAAAGAAAGATTAAATCAGACCAAAAACAAAACCCAGAAGGCTGGCATTTGTTTTCCAGTATCTTGTATTACAAAGAACAGAACATGCACCCATCCAAACTCTCTTCTTGTGCAAAACTAGGGCAAAGAGATGTGGTCACCATGTGCAATTTCTCCACTAGCTTCTGCTGGCATTTGTTTTCCAGTTTCTCGTATTACAAAGAACAGAACGTGCACCCATCTAAGCTTTCTTCTTGTGCAAACCTAGGGCAAAGAGATGTGATCACCATGTGCAACTCCTCCACTAGCTTCTGCTCAACATGATAAAATTGAGGCTTGTTGCAATCTCTCCTCTTAGGAAACTGAAGCCACAGATGACACCAAATCAGGAGCGACAGCTAATAACCTAAAGGATAGGATCAGAATCCAAAACAGCCTTCACAGATTAGTGTACCCAAACTAACAAAATAAATTTCAAAAGGGAGAAATGAATAGGTACTATACTTTGGTGATAGAAATAAAAATGCACTGGTGTAGTATGGATGACACCTGGCTTTCAAACAGTCCATGTCAGTGGTTCTCAACCTGTAGGTCCCCAGGTGTTTTGGCCTATAACTCCCAGTAATCCCAGACAGTTTACCAGTTGTTAGCATTTCTGGGAGTTGAAGGCCAAAATATCTGGCAACCCACAGATTGAGAACCACTGGTCCTTGTGAAAGAGATCAAGGAGTTTCAGAAGATCACAAGCTGAACATGAGTCAACACTGTGATAGAGCAGCTAAAGAAGCCAATGTGATTTTAGGCTACATCAACAGGAATATAGTGTCAAGATCAAGGGAAGTCATAGTCCCACTCTATTCTGCTTTGATCAGGTCTCACCTGGAGTCACACAGTGTCCAGTTCTGGGAACCACAATTCAAGAGGGATATTGAAAAACTGGAAGATGTCCAGGTTAGGGTAACTAAAATGGCCAGATTTCACCCCACTTTCTGTCTCTGTGATGATTGGATTTTGAAAAAAATTGCTTGTTGTTGAAACAAGGAGTGGCGATAAAGCTTCAGTGGAGACACCTTTTCCCTATGATAACTCTTCCTGGAGTGAATTTCCCTTTTGGAGGGTTAGATTTCTCTCACTTCCTGTTGTCTCACCCCTGTTTTTAACTATGAGTTGTTTGAAGGTCAAATGCTTGCAACTCGGGGACTACCTGTACTCTGTAGAACTCCACATTAGTTCAACAGCGATTTTACTTAGTCCTGAATATTTTAAAAAGCAACAAAACTACTCCCTCCATCCCACTTCCAGCTGTCCAATATTGTCAAAATGAAGAAATTTGTGATTAACTTGATTTTTTTTTTGTAGTTGGAAGTATTTTAACATATTACTTAAAACTAAATTCTGGGCTGATAAATTGGTGAGTTATGTTTCAGTTTACAGATTTTTGTTTTTGTTTTTTACAAAGCCACAATCCTACAGTTTGTTCACCTATTTTGCCTCTAACACTGAATACTCTTAATGGTAGACTCCCATCCATGGAAATTTTAAGTCATCACACACACACACACACACACACACACACACAATCAGCAATAAAAGCTGTACTTCCAAAGTAGTTTATGAAAAAAGGCAAGGGAAAGCATAAACCCAATTTACTTGTCTCAATGTCTTGTTCCTCTGGAAAGCACATCTATCCAAGTCAGGGTGTGTTCTTTTGGTGCACACAGTCCGGCCAATATCAACATTAACTGTGTATTTCAAGCCTCTTACCACCTAGAGAAAGCATTTTTCACATTACTGAACAGCACACAATGAGGTCAAATTAGCAAGAGGGACCCACAAAGCCAGACACAAGTCACAGTTTCTTCCGATCATTTGGTGTTTACCATATTATACTTGCAATGTGTGTATTCCTTCTGTTATTTCTCTTCCAGTGTGTAAGACCATCACCCTACTAACATCAATATTACTTATACTATTCCCTTTGAGAGCTACAAAGGCACAACAGTGTTGCTCTTTTGAGATCAGACTGATATTGTTATTAGGCTGAAATAAGAAGTAGAGATGTTTTAGGTTTGACGTTTTTGGATTATTCATAGATTTAATTTAAATGGTTTCTCTAGGTCCTCTGTGTGACGCTATGGTCCACATCCATTGGAAGCTGATCAGAGTTACACTAGAGCAGTGTTTCTCATACTGATCCTCCAGATGTTTTGGACTTCAGCTCCCAGAAATCCCAGCCAGCTTACCAGCTGTTAGGAATTGTGGGAGTTGAAGCCCAAAACACCTGGAAAAACACAGTTCAAGAAACTGAACTAGAGGACTAGAGCACTGCTTCCCAACCTGTGGTCCATGGACCACCAGTGGTCCGCAAAAACTAAAATATGATCCATGACCTTACCATTACTACACTGTTGCCTCAAAACCATGCGGCAATGAGAGTGACTGGTCTAGCAGAACCCTCTTATAGTGCAGAGGCAGCGGGGATGTTAGTAGGGAAGAGGCTGACTACTCATGAAATACTACTACTACAACATTGGCTCTAGATTATTAAATATGGTTTTCTCTGGGCGAACAGATGGTGACTACTGGATGGTATTATCTTCTGTATCAGAAACTAGATCTGATGTGGTCTATCCAATGCAATTTTCTGAATCAGCACCCCAAATAACCAAACTGAATCTAAAGTTGACCAAAAAGTGATTCGTAACCCATTTTGAGCACCCAGTGGCAAAGTGGCTTAAACCCTTGTACTGGCAGGACTGAAGACCGACAGGTCACGGGTTCGAATCCAGGGAGAGCGCGGATGAGCTCCCTCTGTCAGTTCCGTCTCACCATGCGGAGACATGAGAGAAGCCTCCCACAAAGAATGGTAAAACATCCTGGGCAACATTCTTGCAGATGGCCAATTCTCTCACACCAGAAGCAACTTGCAGTTTCTCAAGTCGCTCCCGACATGGGGAAAATAAAAACAGCCCTTTTGGTACGAATGTTGGAGAGTGTTCCTGGTCAAAGTGGTCTCTGGTCAAGTGATCCCTTGTCAAAAAAAAAAAACAGGTTGGGAACCACTGCCTTGGGTCTTCCAGTGCCATTCTATGGCCAGCTTCCAGCAGAAGTTGGTAACAAATATATGCTGGAGGACCTTGAGATTTCTAGAAAGGTGTTTGGTCCATTTAAAAAAATGGGGTTTTGTATTTACTTTCTTCCCACAGTCTCAGGGCCGACTAGAAGAAGTGCTGGGGCTGCTACTATCATACCCACTCTCTGTTCACCCCTTTGTTTGCCCTTTTATCTCTCTTTCATCTTCCATTCCTCCTGACCCCACTTCATCCACTTTCTTCCTTTACACATTAACACCCTTGCCTCAGGCTATTAATAGAATCAGTAATGGCTATAAGTGCTTGTAGTTGCCCCTATCTGCCCTCCTTCTGTTTACAGAAGTTAGCATGCCAGTACACAAGACACAAGTGATATCTAAGGGTGGTTCCCTAATCCCCACCCCACTGCCATCTATTGTCTGCCTCAAGCCAGGTATTATGAAGCTCTGGACCACATCCCTGGTTTTCTATTCATATGTGAGACAGAGTACAGCTCCCTTCCGCATGAGTTTATTTAATGTCAACACAGTTGCAAAAGCAGGTGAATCATTGTAAACAGTAACTCATATTGCTACCCACTAGGTTTATACTGGTAATAGAATCTGATAACACATGAGCTGTCTTACACAAGTCCAGTCAATCCTACACATTGTGGTTAAGTGTGCAACACTCCCACAAAAGTGGGGAAACAGCAAATGGGAATCCCTAAGTCCTACAATCTCACTCTGTGATGGACTTCTATCAGAAGTTAACCATATAATTGTACTGGAGGTCCTATAAATGCCTAGAAAAGTATTCTCTCTAGAAATCTCTAGGGGCCATTCCACACAGCTTTCTATCCCAGAATATCAAGGCAGAAAATCCAACATTATCTGAGTGTGGACTCAGATAACCAAAGCAGATATTGTGGGCTTTTCTGCCTTGATATTCATACTCTGATCAGTTTCTGGCAGATTTTGACCAGAGAATCAGACTTGAGGGCCTAGAGATCCCCAGAGAGAACGTATGAATCAAATCTGCAAATAATTACATCTGCAAAAGTGAAAGCTGCAAATGTGGAGGGCCGACCATATGTTGCCTTTTATTGATGCAAGGAGAGGGAAACCCGTGCACTTATTTGGTCATTAAGAATATTTACTGCCTTTGTTACCATAACAATTCAACAAGTCTTACCTGCAGCGTGGCTTTGCTAATGCGGGATTCTCTAAAGAGAAAGATGTCATTGGAGCGGTTGTTGTATCTGTACACTCCAAACCTAGCTGCGTGTTGAACGCCTGGGTCATCTGTCTTGACAGTGATAGGAAATCCAGGTTTAATTGTTGAATTGGGCAACTCTCTATCTGTGCCTATTAGAAACAATTGGCAAAGGAGCAGTTCTTTAGAAACAGGTCTATGAGAAAACATGTTTCTTCACAAGGTTCATTTCCTTAGGTATTAATATCCATTAAGCCCCATGGAAGCAAAGAAAAAAAACCCAGCTGTCCATAGGCCGTACACCTTTACATGTATAAGGTACTAAAAATATGTTGTGCATATTCCTTGTCATATTTCTAGAAACACTTGGCTGGTCAGGGCTTGGGACAGAAAGCTAAATGATACATCATGTGATGAAATATACCTTCGCATTTAATATGCACGGATGGGTTTTTCCTAGGGGGATTTTCTTCCAAGATAAGCAGCAGATTTAAGGGAAGGGATTGTGCTTGTTCACAGAGGAAAGGATTCAATTTCTGTAGTAACCTACGGATGTGAGAGCTGGACCTTAGGGAAGGCTGAGCGAAGGAAGATAGATGCTTTTGAACTGTGGTGTTGGAGGAAAGTTCTGAGAGTGCCTTGGACTGCCAGAAGATCCAGCCAGTCCATCCTCCAGGAAATAAAGCCCGACTACTCATTGGAGGGAAGGATACTAGAGACAAAGTTGAAGTACTTTGGCCACATCATGAGGAGACAGCAAAGCCTAGAGAAGACAGTTATGTTGGGGAAAGTGGAAGGTAAAAGGAAGAGGGGCCGACCAAGGGCAAGATGGATGGATGGCATCCTTGAAATGATTGGACTGACCTTGAAGGAGCTGTGGGTGGTGACGGCCGACAGGGAGCTCTGGCGTGGGCTGGTCCATGAGGTCACGAAGAGTCGGAGACGACTGAACAAATGAACAACAACAACCTTGGGCAGTCCTGAAAACTAGCAGTATTTTCAGTTGATGGCTTGATTGTGTGTATGTCTTAACCAGCATGTTAGGACAGGACTTGGCTTATAGTTCCATATTAGATGGAAACAACAATATATCTTTTCTGGAGACGCCTCTGTGCTTGGCAGTGGGTAAGTGGCTATGCTGGAGACTGACTTTGTCTTTCTCTTACATTATACTCTTTCCCATCCCTATCAAGAAATCTTTGGTGGTCTCCCATCAAAGTGCTAGCTGAAATGTATTTGGTTTCTATGATGAGACAAGACTGGGTGTGTTCAGATAGCATGCTCCAATTATGTTCTTAAATTAAGGCCCGTGGGCTGGATCTGGCCTGCCAAGGTCATTTCCCCCATCTTTGCCCTAAACTTTAGGCATGCCACTGCCACCATTTGTACCCCACCACCACTGCCACCCTCTTCTTACTCCTTTTATTTCCTTTCCTTTCCTCTCTTCTATCTCCCTCCAAAATGGAGGGATCCTTTGCAACCTCTTCTTGTTTCTTAACTCTCCTTTCCTTTCCTTTATCTCCCTCTAAAATTGGAGGGATCCTCTACACCCCCTTCTTGCTCCCTCCAAAATAGAGAAAGATAGGAAAAAGAGGAAAGAAGGGAAAGAAACAAAGAAGAAAGAAAGATTCGTAGGTAGGAAACAGAGGGAAGGAAGAGAAGGAAGTGTGAAATAAAGGTAGGTAGAAAAAAGAGATGGGAAGAATTCAGAAAGTGTGGTCTAATGTATTGTCGAAGGCTTTCATGGCCGGAATCACTGGGTTATTGTAGGTTTTTCGGGCTATATGGCCATGTTCTAGAGGCATTCTCTCCTGACGTTTTGCCTGCATCTATGGCAAGCATCCATAGATGCAGGCGAAACGTCAGGAGAAAATGCCCCTAGAACCTGGCCATATAGCCTGGAAAAACCTACAACACCCCAGTGTGGTCTAGTGGTTTGAACCTCAGACTGTGGCTCTGAATCCACTGGGTGACTTTATCCAAGTCAGACTCTCTCAGCCTCAGATGAGGACAAAGGCATATCCCCTTTGAATAAATCTTGACAAGAAAACTCTGTGATGGGGTTGCCTTAGTGTCGCCCTAATCCTAAAATGACTTGAAGGCACATTATAGTCCAGCCTCCCAACAGCCTGAGGGACCATGAACTGACCCTCTCTTTAAAATGTTTGAGGATCCCTGACCTATACCATTAAATTTACTTGTTACTTAGTGAATTTGGAATGGAGGGAAAACAGGCAGTATTCAAACCTGTTGCCACATGAGAAGGAAGTAGCAGTTTTTCCTTTCACAATTAAAACTTCTTCTGTGGTTGAATGTTGCTTTACTATTGGCAATTGACTCACTGGAGAGTGTAGTGTTGAAAGTGGAAATGTGTTTGGAACGAGCATGACATTTGCTCACTCCAAACACAATAGTGAAGCATTGCATCAATAATTCGGATTTCAAAGAACATCTTAGGCAAGCATCCTGGTGGCTGTAAAGCTCCAGTTGTTTAATTGGCCTTGTTTAATTGGAAAGCAAATGGACAGCTGAATTACTGCTGAGAAGGCTGCAGAGGCTCTCCGTTGGACACTGCCATAGAATGTGCCCGCATTCCCATTCATTCAATAACTAAAAGGTTGATTAAAGCTAGAGATTTCAGAAATTAGCTGTAGAAATTTGTAAGTACACATGTATGAAAAATCCAAGCTAGAAAATGTGTGAACGGCCCAACGAAGCTTACCGATAACTACGCCTAAATAGGTCTTATATCCTTGTTTTTTAGTTTTTGGTTCTGAATATTTCTAGTGACCTATAAATGGCTAAATCGCTGTGTTAATTCAAGTGCTTCACAATCCTAGAGCAGCAAAAATAGTAAAGCTTTCAGGAAGCACTGATAGGAAGACAGACACTCCACATATGATAGCAAGGAGCTGTATATCCATAATTTTTTTTTTACTCCAAAAGCAAAATGCTTCCATGCTACTGTGGTTGTGCATTGGAGCCACTTTCTCTTCCACACTGTAAAATCTACACAAATCTTTGTCATAACAGCTTCTATAATATCCAAGCACTAATACTCTTCCCATGGCTTCTTCAAGTTTTTCAATCCCATTCTCTAAATCAGTGGTTCCCAACATTTTTTGACCAGGAACCACTTTGACCAGGGACCACTCTCGAACATTAATACCAAAAGGGTTACAAATGAATTTTTGGTCAACTTTAGGTTTCGCTTGGTTATTTGGGGTGCTGATTCAGAAAATTGCATTGGATAGACCACATCAGCTCTAGTTTCTGATACAGAACATATGCCATCCAGTGGTCGCCATCTGCTTGCCCACAAAAAAACATATTTAATAATCTAGAGCTGATGTGATATTAGTAAACTTTCATGGGGAGCCAGCCTCTCCCCTCCCAACATCCCAGTTGCCTTGCCACTCACTATAAGAGGGTTTTGTGAGACCAGTCATACTCTTTGCTATGTGATTTTGAGCCAACGGTGTAGAAATGGTGAGGCTGCGGACTTATTTTTGTTCTTGTGGACCACTTGTGGTCCACGGAGCACACGGTGGGAACCACTGTTCTAAATGATAGCATGGGCCTTGGTGGAATGCCAAGCTTCCTAATCATGAGCAGACATCTCCATAAAAGTATTAGTAACATGCATTTGAGTGTGTAAAAGTTATTTATTGACTACAACTCATAGAATTCTCAGGAAACACACCCAGGAAGTGACTGGGAAGCTGTAGGCCAGCATTTCTCAAGGCCCAGGGCTCCCAACCTTGGGGTTGGGAGCCCTGGGGGAGTCATGAGGAGATGCCAGAGGGATCACCAAAGACCATCAGAAAACACAGTATTTTCTGTTGGTCATGGGGGTTCTGTGTGAGTTTAGCCCAATTCTAGTGTTGCTGGGATTCAGAATGCTCTTTGATTGAAGATGAGCTATAAATCCCAGCAACTACAACTCCCAAATGTCAAGGTCTATTTCCCCAAAACACCACCAATGTTCACATTTGGGTATATTGAGTATGCGTGCCAAGATTGGTCCAGATCCATCATTGTTTGAGTCCACAGTGCTCTCTGTATATAGCTGAACTACAAGTCCCAAACTCAATGTCAATGTCTACCATTGCTGGAGTTCAGAATGCTCTTTGATTGTAGGTTAACTATAAATCCCAGTAATTACAACTCCTAAATGATGAAATCAATCACGCCCCCCCCCCAACCCCACCACTATTCAAATTTGGGTGTATCGGGTATTTGTGCCTAATTTGGTCCAGTGAATGAAAATAATCCTGCATATCAGATAGTTACATTATAATTCATAACAGTAACAAAATTACAGTTATGAAGTAGCAACAAGAATAATGTTATGGTTGGAGGAACTGTATTAAGGGGTCGCGGCATTGAGAAGATTGAGAAACACTGTTTTAGGCAATATAGTAAAGAGAGAGAGAGAGAGAGAACTTTGCTATGCTCTACATAACATCAATAAGCCTTCCACGTGGAAAAGTTAAAATAGTTTTATTTAAACACTCCCTTTGAATGCTTAACATATACTGATCCGGGGAAAATGGTAGTGGACTGTGACGCAGGAACAAGGAGGTCATAATGTTTTTGTTTTTCTCTCTTTCCTATTTTCACTCACTATTAGAGAATGTATTTTATTTTAGGCTATACAGAAATTATCACACTGGTTTATCTTCACTATGCATTCCCATCCCCCCTGGTTCCCTCAATAAAACATTATCGATATATAGATAGATAGATACACACACACACACACACACACATATGTGCTTCATCTTATTTTAATCCCCCTTAACGCCTTTCCCCACTTTGAAGAGAAACCACAACGGAAAGAGTGAGGCTTATCTAGCAACAGGCAGACTTTTTATCTTGTTTTCTGCACTCACTTTTTTTGGACATTCATGTCTGAATGGCGAGAAAATGTGAAAAACAAGCATTTTCAGGCTTGCTACTATATCATTAGGACAAGCTTGGTAGACCCAATTTTGTAGGAGAGGCTTTTCCCTGTGTAGTGATGTGGTGGTGACAGTTCTTCCTGCTTAACAGCCTGCGGCTCATAGAAGCAAAGGAGGAAAAGAGACAGGGAAACCAAGTGGATTCTTTAATGCTGACTTCAAATGAGGCATCTGAAAGCTTCTAGTTAAATACACGGAGAAACTTTGCAACAACCTCAGTTTGAAGGAGAGATTAAGGGTGTTAAAAAAAAATTAAGATCCAGCCAAAGCCAAATAGCATCCTGGATTGTAGAAGGATAAAAGCTTCAATGGTACCTATTTGGCTTGTGCATGGAAATACTGCAAGAGAATATTTAAAGCATTTGCTCAGTCTTACCAAATGCAGTCCTGACTTCAGCACTTAGAAGCAGAATGCAGAGGATCATCAGAGTCCCCCTGAAGAGCATGGCTGCTACGTCATAACACAGCTACTGGAAAGGCAAAGCTTGCCTGCACCAGCCCTCGCTTCTTGCACCCGAGAGAGGAAGTGGGGCTTCTTTCCTCTACATGCTCAAGAACTCCCACTGGTCAGGAAGAGAGCAAATATGCAAATCTAATTGAAATGCCGCTCGGCCCCCGATCCGAACCAGGCTGGGCTCCATTCCCATTTTCAGCTTATCACAACTCCTTCAGACATATTTGAATTTTAAAAATAATTAATATTTCATTCAATAGAATAATAGAATTTGAAGAAACCACAACTAGCCCGACCCCTTGTCATGCAGGAAGGAAATCGAGCAATTTAAAGCAACTGTGGATAGTGCAATCCGGGCCGCAGATAGCAAAGCCTGCAACGCGGATACCGAGTTCTGATAAGTGGATACAGGATCCACAGGTGGCAGCAGGCCGCCTGTGGATCCATGCACCTGGTGAGACGAAGAAGCTATTCCAATGTTCCCAAATCAAGAAAGTCAAGTTGAAGAAGAAGCCACCAAGGCATTTTATTCAAGTCAGCTGAAGTGGATGCCTGCATGTGGTCATCCGCCAAAGGAAACTGAGATGCCATAACACTGAAAAACAGATATTTTTTTACAGTACAATCCTTTGAAATTCCTGCTCCCACCCCAGCTAGAGCCAGCTTCACTGTGATTGGCGGAGCTCCATTGATGTCATGATCAGCTGGGCAGGATTCCCTGGCAAGGCAGGACTGTGGTGCCTGCCAGCCAATCAGAGAACATTCCCCGCTTCCAAAGCGAGTGCCTCTAGCACTGCTGTCCAGTGAGTCCAAAAAGGGGAATATCGTCCATGCTGACAGGATTAAGCAGTGTTCTATGTTGGTCTATGACCGTAATAAAGATTTTTGATTTGATATAGTCCAGTGGTTCTCAACCTTCCTAATGCTGAGACCCCTTAATACAGTTCCTCTTGTTGTGGTGACCCCCAACTATAACATTATTTCCATTGCTACTTCATAATTGTAATTTTGCAACTGTTATGTATCGTCATATGAATATCTGATATGCAGGATGTATTTTCATTCACTGGGCCACATTTGGCACAAATACCCAATACGCCCAAATTTGAATACTGTGGGGTTGGGGGGAAGGATTGATTTTGCAATTTGGGAGTTGTAGTTGCTGGGATTTATAGTTCACCTACAATCAAAGAGCATTCTGGACTCCACCAATGATGGAATTGAACCAAACTTGGCACACATAACTCCCATGAACAAGAGAAAATACTGGAAGGGTTTGGTGGGCACTGACCTTGAGTTTGGGAGTTGTAGTTCACCTATATGCACAGAGCATTGTGGACTCAAACAATGATGTATCTGGACCAAACTCGGCACAAATACTCAATATGCCCAAATGTGAACACTAGTAGAGTTTGGGGAAAATAGACCTTGACATATGGGGGTTGTAGTTGCTGGGATGTATAGTTCACCTAAAATCAAAGAATATTCTGAACCTCACCAACGATAGAATTGGGCCAGAATTCCCACACAGAACCCCTATGACCAACAGAAAATACTGTACTTTCTGATGTTCTTTGGTGACCCCTCTGACACCCCCTTGTGACCCCCCTCGGGGTCCCGAAACCCAGGTTGAGGACCGCTGATATAGTCTGTTCCTGGGGAAGGGGAAATGTCATCGTGGAACAACAGGGCAGGACCTTTTGGTGAACTGATAATCATGCCAGGTGATTACTTATTTATTTATTGACCACATTTATATACCGCCTCTCTCAGTCTGGAGGCGACTCGGAGCGGTTCACAATTGGCAACAGTTTGATGCCTCAACAATTATAACAAGTAAAACAATCATAAAATACTGTTAAAACATTAGCATACAATATAAGAATATTTTTTAAAAAAACATACAAAGTCTTAAAAACATTATTGTGAGCATCTCCATGTCAAGTCATTATTCAATTGCTTTGTCAACTGGTTCCATGATTTCGTATAACTATGCCGTATTTGGGAAGGCCTGCTCAAAAAGACATGTTCAGGCTTGTCAATATCCTTCCTGAACTATGAAAAGAAAGAAAGAATATTTGAAATAAACAGGGCTCAGTATTTACATCTGAACCAAAACAAAGCAAAGTGTGTATATTCAAATAGCATGAATGATCACAAAAAAGATTAAATCATACTGGCAGGTTGTATTGAGACACATGAATCCATGAATTGGCATGATTCCATAATGAAAGTCCTGCAAGGTTACTGAACTTCAAGAGGTAGCTGTAACAAGGTCATCATGTTAAATAAAGGTTTATTATAGTCTGAGATGTCTACTGGGATCCACAGAATAATATTGTAATCCAAAGCAAAGGCTTCTTTTTCAAAAATCACAAGAAAATTTTACATTTTTCCAGTTCAGCTCCATTCTCATTGCTGGAGAAAGGATAAAAAGCTATACATTTTTGTTTGGTAACATGGATATGGAGGTCCCCCAGTCTCAAAGGTGTGCAGTTCCACTTGATAGTCCGTCTTCTGGTGCTACGTGTTCCTCAAACGTGAAGTCCATTTCCAGAGCTCTACTGGACTCCTGGGTCAAGACAAAGTTATGAGTAATTTCAGTTAACCTCAAAAGGTGGGTTCACACTCGGTGTGCTCCGCTATTGCCAATGATCCAATTTCAAGACACAAACCAGGTTTGAAGGCAACAGGAACAGCCGTTTATTAAATCTGGCTAGAAAGGACATTCGATACAGAGACTGTGCTCTCAAAGATCCAACATAAAGAATGCAGCAAAGTGCAGGACACTTTATTCATCCTGACAGTCGTTCAAAATACCCTCGCCCTCCCCGATTGGCTGAAAAGCCGACACAGCTAGGATCTGGGCATCCGTTGGCTGGGGATTCCTCCTGATGTGGTCAACGTTTTGTCAGGATTGTAAAAATACATGATATATTGAAATGGTAAAAGGCTGAATCACTCAGGCCTAGCCATGTGAAAAAGTACTATGTCACCATGACAGGGAAGTGGCTGATGCAATGTGGGAGGGTATAAACTAAGGCAAGTGACTCTCGAGTGCTCGATGATGATGGTTTGGTGAGGTTCTGATAAGAGTTGGAGTAGAGAGAGAGAGAAAAAAAATTTGTACACTCTGTATTACTGTAAATATATTTGAAGTTAAAGTCTTCCTGCATTTGGAAAGAACATCTGTGTTTGGCATCTTTGGTGTTCCTGCTGTGATCTCCTACATGACACAAATGGGGTGCTAGGATCCTGGCTGGATTTCTGCATGGAGATGTTTTTCAGCACTCTGCTAAGGTGTTAGAGATACCTGACAAAAATTAAAAATCGCAATTTGTGGATTTGTAGTTGGAATTATTTGGAGGATCCACCTGAGAAGTGTGTGAAGGTTGGTAAATGTGAATAAACAGAAGCTTTACCACAGTATTTAAACCAAGATATATCCTGCAGTATAATAAATGTCACTCAGACTTGTATAACAAGTAACAGTATCTTAATAATAATAATAATAATAATAATAATAATAATAATCTTTATTTAATACCCCACCACCATCTTCCCAATGGGGACTTGGGGCGGCTTACATGAGGCCAAGCCCAACAGCATATTACAATAAAGTAAAACCAAAACACAATAACAACACAGTAAAATACATACAACATATGACTACAAAAATGATAAAGCAAAATCATACACAATAAAATAAAATAAAATAACAATGAACAGGCCGCATGTGCAAGAAAAAACTAAGATACTAAAAATACTAAAATCAGGATGAGATAGGGATGGAGCAGATTGTTTGTGGGGTTCTAAAGTTCAAACAGGATAACAATATATACATCAGTCTCTTTGAATTCAGACAGAGGAATAAAATAGTATTTTAAAGTAGTCTTTAAAATAAGCCTCATGCTTTAAAATGATCAAGCTTCAAGACAGTTGGCAGCCAGCACTGTCTCTTCACTGTCCAAAGTGAGAAATGGTAAAATGACAGAACCATTGGTCTCAGCAGCTACCCAAAGGCAGCAGCCAATCGGAACACTGGCTCCTGGCACGCTCAACCAATGAGCTGCTGACACACCCCTTTCCAGCTAATCCATTACATAATGGCATCTCTTTTCAAATCCTAACAAAGTGCAGACAGGTAGAATGCGGACATGCAGACCAATCCGTGATTAGATTAATTACCCAGCACAGTTTACACAAAGGGTGAGCTCCAGAAAACTCAATAAGTTTTTATGTAAATACAAAGAGTTCAATTAAAAGTTTTCAGAACTAATTTGTGCACCATTCTCTGGCAGTAACTCATCTCCAACCCCCCCTTGGGAAGTTGGAAAACTACTTTACATTGTGAGAATTTGTAAAAGACACCATGATGTGGTGGCTTAATCGGAGAGGCATGTGTCAGCAGCTGATTGGCTGAGTGTGGTAGGAGCCAGAGTTCTGATTGGCTGCTGTCTCTGGCTTGCTATTGGAACTAACGGTTCTAACTGCCATTTCTCATCTTAGACAGTGAAGAGAGTGCTAGCTGACAACTATCTTGAAGCTTGATCATTTTAAGGCATGAGGCATATTTAAAGATTATTTAAAAGTACTATTTTATTTCCCTCTATTCTCTGTGTATATTGTTGCCCTGTTTGATCTCTTGAACTGAAGTAAAGATAGTTACTTGTTACACAAGCCTGAGTGACACTTTATTATACTGCAGGGTTTATTTTGATTTAGAAACTGTGGTAAAGCTTCTGCTTATCTGCTTATTTACATTTACCAACCCTAACATACATGAGGACATGAACTTCATATGCTGGTATTGTTCTTTCCTGGTGGCTCCAACCTCACAGTAGGTGGGAAGCCACCAGGTTCCAGGTTTCTAGTTTTCCCAAGAGATAAGCACTGGACTGTATGAGTGTAGATATGGTTCTCCATTTCAGCACATCCAGTTACCTTTATTAATAAACATGTATGTGGAGATCGCAAGCAGTTATGAAGGGGACTTGTGGATTTTATAAGTGATTTATAAAGGACGATAAAAGCACAGCTCTGAGACTGTGAAGGTAGGTTTTAGCTTGGGGTTAATGGGTGCCCATT